AGATTTACAACAGACAGAGCTGAAGCATATGCTGGACACACCAAGGAACAAATATTGTACCTTGTAATTTTAGATGCTGGATTGTTCCTCAAAAATTTTTGACATTCAGAATTGTATATTCTTTGGAGAGGGCCAAAACATCCAACATCTAAAGGTTGTAGAATATGACTTGTATGAGCTGGCAATACCATGAGGATAACATGATGATCTTTTGCCCAGTTGATAACTTGAAGATTTATATGTGACTTATGACCATCATAAATTAGTAGAACAGGTGTTTCACTATTGGGTCTCTGTACATATTTAAGAAAGTGAGTTTCCAGATACTCAAGAAAAATGGCAGTATTCGACCAGCCACTGTCTGTAACGGTGCCTTGTGCTCCTGGTGATGACCCCTCCATTAACTCACTCCTCATTCTCTGTCCCTTGAAAATAAAGTAGGGAGGAATTTGAGAACCAATAGCATTACCACAGGCTAAAATAGTAGTGGTGGATGAGCGGGCAGAGGTTATTGCTGGAGTTGTTTTACTCGTACAAACAATGTAAGGTGGGCTGTGTTCAGTCTGGACACCCTTCTCATCAACATTATAAATTAGTTCAGGGCTGTCCATCAAATTATTGTCCTTCAATACAGACTGGAGGTTAGCAAAGAAAGAAGAAATTGCTTCCTTAGAAGAAGCCTGTGCTCTGTAATTGGAAAGTGCTCTTGGTTTCAAAACTTTCATCTCAGGCCATCTATCCATAAAGCCACGGAACCATCTATCACTGAGTGGATGATTCTTATCCCGTAAGCCAAGAAATAAGGCAAAGTTACTGGCTTGAGAGGTGACTTCAGTACGGGAATACCCATACCCCAATTCTGCCATGGCTTTAAGATGCTGAACAAACAAAGCCTCTTGCTCTTGTGAGAATAAAGCCTGTGGTCCAGAGGATACAGTATCTGGATCTATTCTACCCAGGACACGGTCACGTAGAGTAGTCTGGGGTACACCATACTGGCGAGCAGCAGTTTTAATAGGCATAGAGGCATCTTTCACAGCTTGGTAAGCAGAAGTCATGGCTGTAGGACTATACAGCCTATACTTCATGGATGTTTTCAGAGGATTTGCCTAAAAGAAAAGAAAACCAAATTCTAAATAGTTGTTATAATGTTAATTTAAAGATAAAATACTTTTTAATAAGCTCAAAATGTTATAACAGGTAAGTATTTTTCAAACACCCTGTACTTATTTATAGACCATGAAAATCACATGACAATCATGTGACCTCAGATAGCAGACGATGCAGGACCCCCCATGAAGCTTTTTTCTTTATTTGCAAAATTATTATTCATAGAGCTTTTTATTTTGAAACATGTAACAAAAGTATTAGTAAAAAGTTAAGTTTTATTCATTTCATTTTTAAAAGTAAATAAACTTACGTTTTTCTTGCGCATTTTGCAAAATTTTATAGTGTTCGATTAAAGTTAGGAACTAGGTAGTTTTATGAAATCCCGTGTGACGTCATTCCACTTCCGGCGGTGTCGCGGTAAACAAAAAACATAAAGTATCGAATTCAGGTCAGTATCGATTACACGTCAATCCACGATACATAATCGGTCTATATAAGTATATAAAGATATCTTTATATACATATATAAACCGATTATGTAAAATATTTGATTATGTGACTAGCGCCTGTGGATGTCACTTTAACTGCTTTTAGCAAAATTACTGTTTTAACAGCAATTCATCTGTTCATAAGTTTTTCTTATTATGAAAAGTTTCTCTGTTCATTTATATCTAGTTTGTTTTAGATCTATGGCTCAAACACAACATAAACTGTTTTTTATATATAAACACTGATAAATGGGTGATTTTTTTTAGTTGAAATATTTTGTTTTGCATTTTAAACTTTCTTTTGGGCTCAATGGCTATACAGTATACAGTACTGATATACCACTGCCTCCGGTATGTGCATTCAGGTGTTTGTATTTTAATGAAGATACCAATATGAGCACCTCAATTTATACACGTATGTGGTGTAAGGTTAATTAAGCTCATACAACTGCCTCCAGGATGTGCATTCAGGTCGGTACGTTACGATACCGAAATCAACTTTGCATTACCGAAATCAACTTATAAAATCACAATTAAGCGTTTATTATATTTTCAGGTGTTTGTATTTTAATGAAGATACCAATATGAGCACCTTAATTTATACACGTATGTGGTGTAAGGTTAAGCTCATCTAGGGGTAACAAATCTACCTGCTTCTCTATTTTACCTCTAACTTATTACAGGTACAAGTCACACCCAACATCCGAATCAGGGTCAGTTCCGCCCTAAAACGTACTCGGCCCCCGAGTCAGCTCGGCCCTATTCCAACTCGGCACGGGTCAACTCGGCGGGGACGGCCCACTTTTTTATTTATAAATAAATTGGTTTGTGTTATCACTCTTTATTGTTGGAACCACATAATTAATATATGAACTTATTTACAAATGTAGAAAGATATTTTCATAATTTTTTTATTACATTTAATTGGTAATGAGAGTTTTCAATGAGTTGGGTAATAAAAACTTATAACAGTCCATCCTTGTGACATTGCAAAATACATTGAATGTTAATAAATGCATTACATGTTGTTTTATGTATATAAGATAAAGAACATTAAAAATATTTTATACAATAAGTAAACACGTTTTTATTTTCATAATTTATTGAAGATTACTTTACAAACAAAAAGCATCAAAGGGAACTAATTTTTTATCGAATCTGCAAGAAGGAACGAAACAAATTTCTTATTCTACAGAAGTACAATGTACAGTTATATACATGTAATAATATACCAGATATTACTGGTATTACTCTTACTGCCTTGATAACATACAAGTACAGCTAGTTTTAAAAAAATGTTAATACGTTAAATATGTTGTTTTTTTTTTTGTTTTTTTTTCAAAAGTGGGCCCAGTTGACCTGTGCCGAGTTGACCCGTGCAGAGTTGGCATAGGGCCGAGTTGACTCCTATGTAAAGGATAACCAAATTAATGACATTGGCAAGTCTAAATTAATAATTGAAAGGTTTGTTACTCAAACTCCGGTCAGAGCCTAACTTTTTTCAAATGTATATTATGATATCTTAAATGTATATTATATCTTAGACAAGGTAAAAATGAGTACAAATATATCTCTCATCAATGAAGTAACTGAGAATACAGTATTTAGCATTTGTTGCAGTTGCCCAACAAATTGTGCGCCAGGGCTTAATTATAGACGATGGTCGGCCTAAAGACTGACATTTATGTTGTATCATGTTTGTAAAATCTGTAGGTCTTGCATTCAAAATATTGAGATTATAGTTGCAATAGTAATTATACTCTGTTTGAAGCTGAAAAATTGATGCCAATATTAAGTGTTCCCTTCACCATTGATCTTACAAAGGGTAACTAAGTATACAGTTAAAGTTTATTAACATAAAGTAAGTCAGATGATTAACATACAGTTTATCACTTATCTGTACAGTTTTAGGGACTTTCTAAAACATCGGCGTACAAATGTTTTTTTCATTATGTGTTGAACAAATATAGCCAATTTAAAGTCATGCATGTATATTGTGTAACAGTGTAAGTGTATCAATTACAAATGGACACACGTTCCTCACATGAGCAGAAAGGGCTCAGATATGACTTTTTGTGTTGTTAGAATGATGTATCTGTCATTGTCCAAAACTTATTTTAACACCTGGTGTCAAAAATGGAATAACATGGGAATCATATTTGTTGCGTTGACTTGTACTGGAAAGAGTTTTTTTGCATCTCTTCAGAAACTACAATACTCATGCTCTGAGCTTAGATATTTGCACATATTCCTGTGCAAAAAATAATTTAAATAAGGCTTTAATAAGGCTTTAGGATCAAAACTGGACGCGCCCTCGGGGTTAACATAGATTAATATTTGGAAATGTGTTTAAATCTGCTTCTGTCTCTAGTCGAGATATTTGACATGTAGCATTGCCTAGACTTGATAAACTTGATAAACATGTGTATGAAACAGATACTGAAAACATGTGATTTAGGTCTTTATTTTAACTAAAAGTGGAGAAGATCTAATAAACAATCAGCTCTTTTAGACTTGATGATGTTTTGACTTATTTGCCACTCAAATTTTTTTACAAGACTGAATAATTTCATATATTCATATTGTTACAGTATTTGTACATAATGAATTATTTTTTATTTCTTATTCCTATTGTAATAATCTAGCCCCATCAAATTATAAAACATGTATTTGATTAAGCTTAAAATTGCTTTTGTTATTGTGAAATTTAATGCCTAATGCCTAAGAAATGCTTTTATTTCTCAAAAACTGTTTTTGGTCAAAATTTTATAGTTTCAAAACAATTACACATTGACTGATTACTTTAAACTATCCTTTGTTACTGTTTCCTTAAATTTGGCAGTTAGCAAAATGATTCAGTATTTTTGGATGTAAAAATACTTTCATTTGTACTTTTATCAAATAATATCATTCGGCGCTATTTTCTTCAGGTAATAAAGATCTAACATGCTCAAAATCATTATTTAAAGTTTTGAACATTGCAAAAACATGAGAAGTAAAAATATTTTTGATGCAGCGACATTTCTGTTTCAAGGTTATTTTCACTTGACTGTAAACGCTATGGTTTACACTCCTGTAAGAAAATTTAATTTGTCATTAATTTGAGGAAGGTATTTTACTTTCTTGGATGGCATGTGGTTCTACTCATATGTTAACTTCTGCCTGTTCAGAAGGGCAACAGATGTCTTCCTCCTACAGTAAAAATTTGGGACTTCAGGTTATATTTTTACAGTGTATCATTGGAAAACCCAACCATTACAATGAAAAAAAAAGCTGAAGGGATTTCAGAGACTTCGGTCTGTTATATAAATTCTTTGTGTAACTTTGTTTTAGATTTAATTTTGTAAATTTCAAAAGGACTTCACTTCAGCATATGAGGACATTTGAACAATTTTTTACTAGCAACTTTATTGATAACATACAACTCGTAAAAGAAATCAAGAAATGTTTGTGTAATAGATATGTTAACTGTTGAGTGAGTGGACTTGCTATTATAATAATGATATTAAGAAAATATTAACATATAATTGGCATAAGAAAATTCAAATACAGCAAATAAAATAGAATAATATGGTATGAATACAACTTTTATTAAGAAATTGTTTCATTGCAAAAATGAGCACATTTTTAACTTTCAATGTAGTAACTTTTTTGAAGGAAAATAATCTCTGTGTAACCATTTATTATATACATGTTTATCATCACACTGTATATGTTTTCTGCTTTTTTTGTTTTTGTTTTTTTTTGTTACACTTTCATTCTTTCATTAAAGTTGTTACCATAAGCATGATTATATGTTTGTTTGTGTTCATTTACATAACTGATCAGATATCATACACTTCAATATTGTCTTCATTTACTCTGCTTATACACATCTTAGACATTTGTTGATTACAGCAAACTGACAGAATTCTTGATTTTCCACTGTCAGCTTTTATGACCTCCCCTATCAGCTGTCCATCAAATGTAAACTGTAAAACATTTTTGGAGGTATATCCAGATACCAGCACACTACCTGTTTCAGTGAGATGACAATATGTAGCCCCCTGTAATTGTTTACCATTAAATTTTGTAACAATCTGACCATTGTTGTCTAGTACTATCAGTCCTTTATTACCATCAGCAACATAAATCCTTGTAGCATCCTTACTGACAGCTAGAGTGTTTATGTAAGAGAACAGTTCATCTCCTGACTGGTCAATACTAAACTGTCTAAGTTTCCTGCCAGACATTGTGTAGATATAGACTGTTGTGAGATCAGAAATATATAAATCATTGTTTGCATATGCAAGACCAAGACAGTCAAAGTCAGTTTTAATTTTGTTTGTTTCTTTCATTTGTCTGTCTACAGAAATGAAATGAACTTCCTGCTGGGAAGATAATGTTACTGCTACTTGTGTTTCATTAATTTTACATATTTGCCATGGATATCCAGGTAGATTATAGCAATCTGTGATGGTATAATTGTGACTATCTAACCGTTTAAGCTTGTTGTTGTTGTAGTCAGCTAGGATTATTGTGTCATTTTCCATATAGCAGGCATTGGTGATAGAACAATTCGCTTCATCCAACTTGACGTTGACACAGTATGATTGTTCTCCTGTAATCTGAAGCAACTGGTCAGCAGTTTTTGTAGTTTTCTCTGTCAGCATGCCAATGGTTTGGTTTTGTTTCAGCTGTTGAAGAAGATTTCTGTTAGGTTTGAACTCTATGCCACTTACTGTTATCTTCATTTTGGTATCATTTATAAATTTGTTGGCAACATTTTCAGCATCTTCCCCCATCTTCACATGAACAAACAATTCAGCTTGATTTGGGTTTGGAGATGCTAATTTATCATTAGCTGATGTAACCTTTGCTTTGTGTGCTTGTAGCTGTTTGAGACCTTCTTCAATCTTGTCTTCAAGAAGTTTGAATTTATTTTCTATCTCATCTACAGAACTTTTCTCCAGCTTGTCAAGTTGGTCATTAATTTCTTGTCGGAATTTTCTGATATCATCCAGTAACTCAGCCTTTCTTTTCAGAAGGCTTTGTTTATCCTGTTGAAATTTGTTAGCTTGTACAGCAAGGGTCTTGGCTAATGCCTTCAGCTTTGTTTGAATTTCTCTTGAAGCCACTTGGTAAGATTTGTTTTGGATGAATTCTGGTATGTAGAATATATCTTTACATGATCTGGAAAAAAAAGGAATTAAGTCTGTTTAGAAAACAAATCAGTTTGTAAAAGCATCTGAAAGTAGAAGAATTGGTTATATACTATAACAACATGTTTTAAAAATGGGTCAAAGACAGAAAAGGCCGGGTTGCATTTGTACACCAAATATCATGAGGCTGTGATGTTAAGAAAAAAAAATTCCATTGACCCATTAATGTCGAAAATTTAATTCAGTAGGGTATACAGGAAGTGGATGAGCTACACACCTAAAATCGAATCCCACAGTATGGGACCATGTGTCAATGCTGTATGCCAAATATCAAGAGGCTGTGATTAGTAGTTTCTGAGAAAAATGTTACGAAAATTTCCTACCAGTGACCATAAATGTGAACAGGAAGTGGATGAGCTGCAGACTTGAAATCAAATCCCACAGTATAGGACCATGTGTCAATGCTGTATGCCAAATATCAAGAGGCTGTGATAAGTAGTTGCTGAGAAAACTGTTACGAAAATTTCCTACCATTGACCATTAATGTCGAAAAATCTAAGTTAACTAAGTGGATAAACAGGAAGTGGATGAGCGACAGACCTGAAATCAAATCCCACAGTATAGGACCATGTGTCAATGCTGTATGCCAAATATCAAGAGGCTGTGATAAGTAGTTGCTGAGAAAACTGTTACGAAAATTTCCTACCATTGACCAATAATGTCGAAAAATCTAACTAATTTAACTAAGTGGATAAACAGGAAGTGGATGAGCGACAGACCTGAAATCAAATCCCACAGTATGGGACCATGTGACAATGCTGTATGCCAAATATCAAGAGGCTGTGATAAGTAGTTGCTGAGAAAACTGTTACGAAAATTTCCTACCATTGACCATTAATGTCGAAAAATCTAACTAATTTAACTAAGTGGATTAACAGGAAGTGGATGAGCGACAGACCTGAAATCGAATCCCACAGTATGGGACCATGTGTTGATGCTGTATGCCAAATATCAAGAGGCTGTGATAAGTAGTTGCTGAGAAAACTGTTACGAAAGTTTTTCCCCGCCGCCCGCCCGCCCAGACGCCCGCCCGCCGCCCAACATTCACCATACTATAACCCGGGTTTGCACCAGTGCAACCCGGCCAAAAATTAATAATTTATCTTATTTACTTGTTAAGTTTTATTGTAAACATGTTAAAAAAATCCGGAAACAAAGTGATCCCTTGGAAGCATTAATCACAACAAAATTACATGAAAATTGCACACTTAGTTTGCAGTAGCTAGAATGAATATGTAATGATCATAATGCTTAAAGTTACCTGTGATCAATTGCCATACATGTAGTACAGCCAACATTATCATGATTCTGACAGTACATATCAATGTGTTTATGACTGTGTCTGTCACATCTCTCTGCTGGTGCCCTCGGTAGACCTTTACTGGTTCCTGACTTAAACTGAGATTTATCCAACACCTTGTGACCAGCTAATACAGGCACTTGATTGTGAATTTTTACACATTTTATACAGAAATAATCATGACAGTCTACACAGAATTTGACAGTCTACACAGAATTTTTCACCTTCAGTGTTTTTACCTTTATTTTTTTTACACATTGAACATAATACATCAAATATTTCATCAGAAAGAATATCCGTATTTATTTTTCCACCAGTAGCCATTTTGTTGAAAATCTTGTTGAAACCTGTTTACTCAGTTGATCTATTCAGCGTCTAAATATATATAGCTTGTCGCAGTTATTTCATTGTGATTTTGAAAATATTTTTTGTTGTAAAATTTTTATTCCAACCTGTACATTTTCATTGTCTCTAACACTGCTTTCTCAACAAAATTGATTAAACCTTTCCTATCTTATACAAATAAACCCTCAGAAGTTGAACCTCTGTAAATAACGTTAATGTCATGAATGTAGTAACCAAAACATATCTCTCACAATGTATTCACCACTTTAAAATATTGATTTCAAATTATTGATCCGTTGTGCTTATTCAACCAATAATTGTCAAACTTTATAAAAAATGTACCTCTCAAACATTTGATGATTATTGTGAAATATTTGGACCAGGAAGTGATTAAAAAAGTAAATAAATGTTTTGTCATAATTTTTTTTGTCCTAAATTTTTTTTTTATTAGCCTCAAATGAAACAGAATACCCAAAAATAATGATCTGTTTTATTTATTTTTTTAGCTCATCTGAGCTTGCTCAGGGTGAGCTTTAAGGATCATTTAATGTCCGTCTTCACATTTGTTCATTTACACTCTAGCGGTCACATTTTTGCCTCAATCATCATCAAACTTGGTCAGGATGCTTGTCTAGGTAATTGCTCTGATGAGTTGGAACATGGATCATCTCGGATGAAAAACTAGGTCACAGGAGATAAAAATAGAAAAATCTTGTTAACACTCTAGTGGCTTCTGTTTTCATCCAAATATCCTGGAAATTTGTCTGAAAGTTTGTTTTGATGATTTCTAGGTCAAGTTTAAATATGGGTCACCTTGGTTCAAAAACTAGGTCACACCACCCTAATATGGAAAAACCTTGTTAACACTCTAGTGGTCACATTTTTGACTCAATCATCATCAAACTTGGTCAGGATGCTTGTCTAGGTAATTGCTCTTTCTGCTTGCATGACTTTGAACATTGGTCATCTCGGATGAAAAACTAGGTCACAAGAGCTAAAAAAAGAAAAATCTTGTTATCACTCTAGTGGCTACTGTTTTGATCTAAATATCCTAGAAATTGGTCTGAAAGTTTCTAGGTTAAGTTTGAATATGGGTCACCTGGGGTCAAAAACTAGGTCACTGCCAGAATATAGAAAAACCTTGTTAACACATTTTTTAGGCCACATTTTTTACTCAACTGTCATGAAACTTGGTCAGAATGCTTGTCCTGGTCATTGCTTGGATGAGTTTGATAGGTCAGGTGAGCGATATAGGGCCATCTTGGCCTTCTTGTTTCAATAAATAGCTTCCAATATTTACTATACATAAGCCCTTGGCAAAAACGTCAGCCAGGGGAGGTAATACATGCTATGTGCAAGGGGTTTAAAAAATTTATCTTATAAATAATATGAAATCAGAAAACAATGATATAACCTTATTTTTAAAGCTGTTTTTCAAAAACTTCTCTATTGATAGTTTTACCATATCAGTGTTTTCTCCTTTAAACCCCACATTGTTTTATACAATTTAATATAATGTGAAGTTAAATTGGTTTGACTTATAAAATGAAGGCCAATAAAGCTGGAAAGTAGCCATAAATTACGTTGTCTGCATGTCACTTAAACTAGCAAAAAAGAAAAAAATAACAGACTATGCCATTATTTGATTATTAACCACTGTATTTTCATCCGCAGGTTTTTACCGGAGGTATTTCTAACCAATTGTACGGTTACTATCAGGAAGGTAATTTTGAGGAAAATGTAATTCAGGTGAGGACAGAGTTTATGATAGACAGAGATGTTGAAAAACAAAATATACAGGTAAACTTTGGTGTAAAGGATACTTTCAGAAACCTTTGGTTGTCCTTATATGTAAAAATTTTGTGATTTAACATAGCCTTTAGCACCTGCTACAAACAGGCTTTTATAGACAGGAGTCTTATTGTATCATTATTTTTAGCTCAGCTGTCACAAAGTGACAGGGTGAGCTTTTGTGATCGCTTTTCGTCCGGCGTCCGGCCGTTCGTAAACTTTTACTTTAAATGACATCTCCTCATAAACCACTGAGCCAATTTAATCCAAACTTCACAGGAATGTTCCTTTGGTGGTCACCTTTAAAAATTGTTCAAAGAATTTAATTCCATGCAGAACTCTGGTTGCCACGGCAACAAAAAGAAAAAACTTTAAATATCTTCTTTTAAAGAACCCAAAGAGCTAGGGCTTAGATATTTGGCATGAAACATTTTCTAGTGAGTGTCTACCAAGTTTGTTCAAATAAAAGCCCTGGGGTCAAAATTGACCCGGCCCCAGGGGGTCATTGATTTTCCCTATATGCATATAGTAAAAACTTAAAAAATCTTCTTTAAAAGAACTCAAAGAGCTAGAGCTAAGATATTTAGCATGAAACATGTTCTAATGGATGTCTACCAAGTTGGTTCAAATAAAAGCCCTGGGGGTCAATATTGGCCCCGCCCCAGGGGGTCATTGATTATCCTTATATGTGTATAGCAAAAACTTAAAAAATCTTCTTTGAAAAAACCCAAATAGCTAGAGTTTAGATATTAAGCATGAAACATCTTCTAGTGAGTGTCTACAAAGTTTGTTCAAATAAAAGCCCTGGGGTCAAAATTGGCTGCCCCGGGTGTCGTTGATTTTCCTTATATGCGTATAGCAAAAACTTAAAAAATCTCCTTTGAAAAATCCAAATAGCTACAGTTTAGAAATTAAGCATGAAACATCTTCTAGTAAGTGTCTACAAAGTTTGTTCAAATAAAAGCCCTGGGGTCAAAACTGGCCCCGCCCAAGGGGTGTCATTGTTTTTAACTATATGTGTTTTGTAAAAACTTAAAAAATCTTCTTTTAAAAAACCCAATGAGCTAGAGCTTAAATGTTAAGCATGAAACATGTTCTTATTGATGTCTACCAAATTTGTTCAAATAAAAGCCCTTTGGTTAAAATTGGCCCTGCATGGGGAGTGGGAGAGGTCATTGTTTTTCATTTTATGTGTGTAGTAAAAACTTAACATCATGAAACATCTTCTAATGGGTGTCTTCCAAATTTGTTCAAATAAAAACCCTGGGGTTTAAACTGGCCCCGTCCGGGGGCCTAAATACAGGTGAGCGACCTCAGGGCCATCATGGTCCTCTTGTTGTATGACCTATAGCTTAACTTATAAACCAACATATATTTTCTAGCTTCTAAGTGCAGCCGGAAGAAGCCCACCTCTTTATGCTTCATTTGACAATGGCATAGCATATGGTTTTGTACAGGGTTGTACCCTTGATGATAAAACTATACGTGATGAAAAGATCAGGAAGTAAGCCTTATATATCTAAACTAATTCATAATTGTTCTTTTATACTTGGATTTTATGTTTAAATATAGTTTGACATTAATTAGAAAAGACAAGCTTATTTCAGAAATAAACATTGTATATCTTAATTAACATACAAGAATTGAATTGAAATAAATCTGCATTGCATATACGTACAATGTTATATGGCTCTTAGCCTTTGTTACTGTGTGTCAAATTTTTATGTGCTTCTGTTCGGGATATCGACATGATATTATCAAAAACTCAAATGAGTATGAAATAGGGCATAATTATGTTATTAATAACCAAATATATCAATGCCCGAATCTCAGGCTATATGGCTCTGTGCATAAAAAACCTGTCAGCAGATATGAATAAACTTAACATGCTAAAAGCAAAAGTGATTCGCTTTTGCCACCAGTAGAGAACCAGGCCAGTCTGCCAATTTGTAGTCTGACCAGGCTCTCAACTGTGTGCTGATCAACCTTGATATCCCCAAAATTGATAATGGAATGTTCTAAAAATGGTAGCTGGACAAGTCCATTTCAGCATGATGCCCAAAATTTTTGTTTTTATTTATTTTAATGTAAATGCATTATTTATTGATTTATTAGCTGGACTATTTGAAGAATAGGGAGAGATATTGCACTCACCAAGGCTTCACTGTCACACTTTGGTTAAGTTTTTTTTTTGTGTACAAGTCAGTACCTCCAAAATTACTGAAGGGGAATAGGTTGAAACTTTACACACTTATTTAAGAGCATAATAGAATGTCACTATCCAAGGTCCATAACTCTAACATGGATTTTGACCAAATTATGGCCCTTTATAAACTTTAAGGGACCATTCCTTTAATTTTAGGAAAGGGTAAAACAGCATTTTAGCAAAAACTGAAGAAAAAGCTTAATGAAAATCGAGTTTTAGTGATAAACTGTATGATTTTAAAGAATTTTTTGGATAGGTGACGCAGCTCTTTAAACAGCCCTTCCTAATGAAGGAAAAAAATCCTAAATACTTACTTCTTTATACCAGATTGATAGCTGAAGAGATGATAAAGGTCCATGCAATTATACCAGAGGGTAGGCAGGTGGTTTCAGCACTGTGGGACACACTCTATAGATTCCTGGATTTGTCTCCTGAAGGATTTGAAAACCCCGAGAGAAATAAACAGTAAGTTCTGTGTATTTTAGAGAAAGTTCTATACTGTTCAAAAGATTTTTATTCTTATTTTCTTTAGGTAGGCTTATTTCATTTGAAATATCTGTTTTTATTAAGCTATGTGATACTTTAACTGTTTCTACCCATGCAACCAAGGCAGACTATGATCATCTGCCACATCTGTCTTGTTATTGTCTGCACTGGTTGCTATTTAGTCAATACTTATTTTGAAATTTTCCCTAAACAGAGTAATAGTTTTGTCCAGATTGAAAGATGGACAAGTCCATTTAAGATATTTAAAATGTTGCAGATTAACTCTTTTTTTTTCTTCTTTTTTTTTTGAGTTTTGGAATTTGTGTCATCTTTTCTGAAACGGCTTATCTTATCACACAAAATGAACATCTGTCTGCTGTATAATAAACAGTCCTATCAGTTCCTTCAATTATCAACTTGTTGACCAATCAATAGCTTGCAGCAATATTGACATGCTATGCCACCAGTGTTGACCAATTAAATGCTAATGCTAATTGCTAAAAGGTGCCAGTATAGAGTCGGGCCGGCCTGTCTGCTGACACAAATCTTACTAGACTGCTTTAATTTAAAATATTTTTATAGTCAAATTTCTTAACCTGCTGAATTTGTGTAATGGATTTGCCAAGCTTTTGTTCAACTTTTTTCTCAACAGATATCTTGCAAAGATTAAGCCAAAAGACGTGTTAAGAAAAGAGTTAGATGAACTTCGTGTACATCTAGAGGCGCTTAACTCCCCTGTTGTGTTCTGCCATAATGATCTTTTGCTCAAAAATATCATTTACAATGAAGAAAAAGGTTAGTGTACTTAGGGCATTCATCTTTAATAAAAGGGCATTCATCTTTATCAAAGGCTTGCTGTATTTTTTTTTTTTGCAATATGTTGTTCTATTTTACCATGATAAAATGGTTTGCTCAGAAAATTAACTCTTAGATTTTACTATGCACATATGCATTTAAAATGTTTCTTACATCTCAAATGCGTGTGTAGTATATAGAGGATATTGAATGAGTGTAAGTTCAATTCTGAATTTATTGAATGAGGTGAATAAAGTTATATTATGCGAGCCTTTGGTAAGCATAATGTTATTTTATTCAACGAGTTCAATAAATTTAGTATTGAACTTACAAGAATATAATATTCTATTTATCACATATCCAAAATAAAGAGTGTTTAAAAAAAATTTTAATGAAAAAGAGTCATTTTTCAATGATGCACCTATAGTGTAAGCCTTACATATAGCATGACTTTACACTTTGTTTGTAAAACGCAAATGACTTTGCATGGCCGTGCAACACCATTTATACGAAGTCGCAAAATCAGCATGAGTATGTGAGAAAAAGTATTATGTAGTGGTTATATTATATTAAAAACAAGCAACATCATGTGATCAATATGTTAATTAAGCAACAACATTGTATTGATAAATATGTTATATTTGACGTGATAGGAAACATAATAGAATTAGATAATAGATGAATCTGCAGGGATTTTCAATCCTTTGATATGAGTTATCTTACATAATGTTAGTGGCTCTACTCAGAAGTGTATTTGTGCCTAAAATAATGCACTTAGGGGCACCCCAGAGGTATTCGTCCGCTAGTAACGCCTGAAAGATGTCATGTGATGTTTACAGTGTCGGTTAACTAAAACCCTAACATAAAAGTCTGTATAACCATAGGTAAATTTCTATGCAAATGACACGCCTTTAGATTCTATAGATAGTAAAGCAATAGCATTCAAGAAATGAAACTAGATTTGGTAACACATGTTTGAGTGTAATACATGCCATTTTGTAAAGAAATCTGTATGAATAGTGAAATATTATGCACATGATTAAAACAACATAAAGAACTGTAGAGACAGCTGTTTGATGTAGCAATATAACAATATTGTGGAATATTTTTGTATAATAGTTAGTTGGGGTTTTTTGCATGTGCCTTGTATTATATTAATTAAACTGCTTTCCATGAACTTAGAGGAACAATTGACATTTAGTTATTTCAGGGGCAGGACTTGTTTATATATTGATTAAACTGCTTAAGAAACAACTAACATAACTTATCACATAAACCGCGGCGCAGGAGTGTAATAAAACCATTTAATAAAAACAGTATTACACTAGACGTTATTACACTGTAATAACACTTTCACGTGACGTCATTTGCACTATAAACATAGCGTTAAAGCGCGCTAATGTTAGCGTTACACTTTAGGAGCGTCAATGAAAAATGACTCTTGTCAACAGTTTACTGTTCTTATTTTATATACAATGTATATGATAAATAGAATATTATATTTGTGTAGATTCAATACTAAATTTATTGAACTCGTTGAATAAAACAATATTATGCTTGCCAGAGGCTTGCACAATATGATTTTATTCAACTTGTTCAATAAATCTAGTCTTAAACCTACACTCATTCAATATCCTCTATATATAGCATTGATGATTAAAATTCAAAACGTTTATATATACAAACTAGTATTGAAACCAGCCTATAGATTTTAGATTATTCTAATAGCAAAACATGTATTCTTTTTAATGTTTGCCTATTATTCAAGGACATTCAAAACTTTACAAGGAGTCATATACAGTGAGGGAGATAAATTTATGTAGATAAAAATATAAAAAATATCAAGAATAAATAAAATTTAAAAAAAAACACTTCACCTTTAATCTGCGGGAGCTGAAAGTGATTAGTCTTTGCCACCTGCACTGTCAATTATTGTAGTTTAGTTCTGAAGTCCCTTTAACTAACTTTAATCTAACTTTGAATAGACTGTTCCAAAATCAAAACTAGGCAAATTCATTATTGTCAAATTCAGAAGTTTTATGGTTAAATATTTTTTACTCTTGTCATTGAGATATGTTAGTATACTCCACTTTTATAATCTTTAGTGGCCATTAATTCAATAGATTCTTAGGACTGATAAGCCAAGACTTACTGTAACATACTAAAATTTTATTTTCAGGTTGTGTTTATTTTATTGACCACGAGTATGCCATGTTTAATTATGAACATTTTGAACTTGGAAACCATTTCTGTGAATATGCAGGTATGTTGTTATAAAATTTAGAGATAGGAAAGTATTTTTGTCAATGTTTATTAGAGTTGCGTATCACTGGTAAAAATGTATTATCATATTGCCAGGAAATCTGAAAATCGGCACGGGTATGTGAGAAAAAGTATTATGTAGTGGTTATATTACATTAAAAACAAACAACATCATGTGATCAATATGTTAATGCCGGGAAATTCTACATTATTCAGGATCAAGCACTGAGAATAGTCAAGCATGTGGTCCTACCATCAGCTTTTTAATTCATATTAAAACCAAAAGGTAATGTTTATCTCTGTGTCTAGGATTAATTAAAATTTATGTGATATTTCAGGTGTAGATAATCTGGATTTCTCACGATATCCGGATAAAGCATACCAGATAGAATGGTTACGTTATTACCTTCAACAGTTGGCTAAAAGTAGAGGAGAAAATCCAGAGGCAGTCACTGATAGAGATGTTGAAATCTGTTATGTGAAGACCAATAAATTTGCGCTGGTAAAGATGCACTTGCATATTAACAACATTTTTATTTTATAGCTCACACAAGGTTAACATACAATTATTTGCTATTTATCCAATAGTTCTTGGGTTAAGATTTGTTTCTCTAAAACCCATACCATTATGTCTTTAAGGACAATCACGGACCTTAATTGTCAATTTAGGTCCGTGGGAGAATAAAGTGCTTGGTTCACAAACAAAAGATTTGCAGATTTACAGAACAACAGGGCTGGGAGTCATAACTGGGTCTTATCCTCAATTTTATGGTTTAAATCACCACAATCTTTGAAAATCAACAGATTTACTTTTGTCTTTTATTGTTTCCTCATGGCTGATAACGAGATTTATATATAGCCATGCTACACAATGTCATTTGGTGTAAGTAATTTGCATATCTATTCAGCAGGTTGGTGGCTACTGATTCTACCCATGCAGCCAGTGCAGACCAAGACCATGATCTGCACTGTTCACTATTTCAATTACTACACATACAATGTACTTATTTTGAAATTTCCCTAAGAATGATAAATTGTTTTTTTCCAATTCAAAGATGAAGAAAGAATGAATGTCCATTTACATATAAGTTAGGTTAACAAACAGTATAATGACTACAGTGAGCTGGAAACATGAAGTGTCCGAGAATAACAAACTTTGATTGTTATGGTACAATTCAATTGTTTTGTGTTGCATTTCTATCTTTATATTTTATTTAAGATGATACATCATCATGCCACATGCATCAAAGTTTAATATTATTTCTTATTCTTTTAATCATTAACTTTCAGGCTGCACATTTGTTTTGGGGATTTTGGGGACTTGTTCAGTCAAAACATTCAGCAATAGACTTTGGATTTTTAGAGTAAGTATTTATTTGTTTTACCATTTCTTTTTGAAAAAAAAACATAGAACATTAAAAATTTCATTGTCTAAGAATAAACTGGACAAATATTTTTATCCTAGGGTTATTGAAGGAATAACTTTTGTTTGTATTAAGTGTATTTTATTATGTAGTCAGTATAAAAGAATTTATATACCTTAAACAGTTCACCTTCTTTAGTATATTTTATTATACAAATGTATAGTCAGTATAAAAGTTTTAATATACCTTAAACAATTCACCTGCTGAAACTAAAATGTGTCAAACGTGACTCGATAATATTGGTAGATCAGTTTTTGCATTTTGATATTGAAGTTTATTTACTTTGAATGGACTGTAACATGTTCACATTTAAAGCAAGGCAAATCCATTACAAAATACAGGTTAAAGGCTCAAATATTTAGTTCTAAGATGGCAAGAAGATATTTAATTTTTTAGTAACCTAGTCATCCTAGTGGTTAAATTTGTTGACTTCAAACCACTCACTACTATTGGTTCAATTCCCACCAGGGACTTTGGAATATTCATGTGAAGAAGATATCCATCTAGCATACAGAACTTCCATGGTTCTACATTTTGTGCCTGAAATAATGCACAGTGGGTGTGTGTTGGGGGAGATAGTGGTTCAGAGTTCTTCCTTCACCAGTAAAGCTTGAAAGTTGCCTTATGACCTAGACTGTGTTAGTTTGGCTTAAAACCCAACCAGAAACAAGTAGTTTTAAGGGATTTTTTTATCAGGATACTGAAAATGAGTAGCCAAAAGTAAAGAACCTAGTCAAGCAACACATGTATGAAGACTGTTTTTGTTATATACTGGTGACGTAGGTCTCAAGGGGTCAGACATATGTATGTTTGTGCCAGCCTGCTTGCATGCGTGCGTGTTTATATGTATACATGTTACATCCTGGCTAAGTGAGTAAGGCCTGCTGTGATGATTGGAAATTTTTCCAAATAAAGAAGCAACCTTTTCTTTTGCTATGATTAGTTATTTTGTGCTGTCAGTTTGTTTAATGCATGAATAATGAGGGTAAAAGGCCGTTATACCATCTATATAGCAATTTAGTGTAGAAATGAAACACTACAGTAAGGATGTCTCTAACTTCAGCAAAGATGTATTATAAGTCATAACAAACAAAAAAACTGAATATGATATATATATAATATATATAATTTTATTTATGACCTGTAATTGTTTCTTTTTTCAGTTATGCAGAACTAAAATTGAACGAATATTTTGCCAGAAAAGAAGAATTTTTAGCATTGGAATTACCAGCATAATGCTAGCCTATTCTTAGCTTTATTTCCTATATTAGAATTACCTCAATTTTATTGATTAAGTTTATTAGAGGATTCGGTTAATTAGAGTCATTGTTTTAATCAGTATTGTGATGGGTTGTCTGTAATCTAAATTTTGGGCATTAGGTACATGTTAATTGAAATAGATATATTTATATAAAATGTTCTCTAACAAACTCCCCTCATTTAATAAGCATCCAATTTTCCTCCCAAACTTTTTAACAAAGAAAAATTTTAGTTATCAAGACAATAGCTTTAATTTTCTAGCTTGAAGGAATTAAGCACAATTTTTAATTACAATCCAGCTGAAACTAACTCAAAGACAGTAAATAGGGGCATTTTTTTTTTTTTAATTTTTAGAGAAGATACGGTATTCTTCAAATTTTAAAGTGTGGTAAAGACTTGTGCTTAAACTGGAGGAACCGAAAGCGACTAACCTTTTTCACCAGTAAAGAGCCATGCCAGCTTGTACATCCGTGCAGTCTGGCCAGGCTCTATACTGTTGGCAGATTAGTTTTAGTATTCCTAAAAATAATAATTGATAGTATATTAGCCATTTAAGAAATTAAGCAGGTAAATTGTTAAATAACTATGTATTTGTACTCTGGACATTTTGTTATCCATTGTTGTAAATGGTAATATATAATGGGATATATATATATATATATTGGCAATGTATCATAGTTATTTAGAAATTTTAATAAACATATACAAAGTACTTGACAAAACTTATATGTGCTCCTGTTACAAATCTGTTGGAGAAAAAAATATATCTTCCAAAAACTTTAATACTGTTCGCAGCTCAATCTTTGTATTTTGTTAAGGAATTCCTTAAAACTGAATTGGACTGTTCCAAATTCAAAGCAGGGCAAATCCATTACACACATTTAGCAGGTTTATCTGTCGTCTGCTGGAATAATTTTGATGCAACCATGCAAATCAATTTAATAAAGTTACAACAGTCAATACTTTCATAAGTTTCTCTCATTCTGACAAGAGATATCATAAGTACGCACTGACAGAGTTTGTGTAAGTTTTGTCTAGTATATATAGTATAATTATAGGACTTTCATATTGAACTGTACACAGCTAGAAAAAACATATAGGACAAGTCACCAGGCTAGTCTTATATTTCTCAAGCTGTTTTGTACATGTTGAATAACCTACATTGTATTTGTTAGATATAAATTTTTATGCCCCCACTTTGAAGAAGAGGGTATATTGCTTTGCATTTGTCAGTCCGTCGGTCCGTAGACCAAATGGTTTCCGAGTGATAACTAAAGAACCCTTAGGCCTAGGAACTTCAAACTTGATATAGTGATTGGTCTTGACCAGCAGATGACCCCTATTGATTTTAGGGTCAAGGAGTCAAAGGTCAAGGTCACATTGACCTTTTAGGTAAAAACCGTTTCCGATCAATAACTAAAGAACGCTTAGGCCTAGGTACTTCAAACTTAGTATGATGATTGGTCATGACCATCAGATGACCCCCTATTGATTTTGGGGTCAAAGGTCAAGGTCACATTGACCTTGTAGGTGAAAACGGTTTCCGATCAATAAATAAAGAACGCTTAGGCCTAGGTACTTCAAACTTGGTATCATGATTAGTCATGACCAGCAGATGACCCCTATTGATTTTGGGGTCAAGGGGTCAAAGGTCAAGGTGACATTGACCTTGTAGGTAAAAACGGTTTCCGATTAATAAATAAAGAAGGCTTAGGCCTAGGAACTTCAAACCTGGTATGATGATTGGTCATGACCAGCAGATGACCCCTATTGATTTAGGGGTCAAAGGTCAAGGTCACATTGATCTTGTAGGTAAAAACAGTTTCCGATCAATAAATAAAGAACCCTTAGGCCTAGAGACTTCAAACTTTGTAAGATGATTGGTCATGACCAGCAGATGACCCCTATTGATATTGGGGTCAAGGGGGAAGGTCAAGGTCACATTGACCTTGTAGGTAAAAACGGTTTCTGATCAATAACTAAAGAACGCTTAGGCCTAGGTATTTCAAACTTGGTATGATGATGGGTCATGACCAGCAGATGACCCCTATTGATTTTGGGGTCAACAGTCAAGGTCACATTGACCTTGTAGGTTAAAACGGTTTCCGATCAATAACTAAAGAACCCTTAGTCCTAGGAACTTCAAACTTGATATAGTGATTGGTCATGACCAGGAGATGACCCCTATTGATTTTTGGGTCAAGGGGTCAAAGGTCAAGGTCACATTGACCTTGTATGTAAAAACGGTTTCCGATCAATAACTAAAGAACCCTTAGGCCTAGGAACTTCAAACTTGGTATGATGATTGGTCATGACCAGTAGATGACCCCTATTGATTTAGGGGTCAAGGGGTTAATGTCATAGTGACCTTGTACTTAATGACCGTTTCTGACCAATAACTCAACAACTCAAGTTGCCTTGGTTGATATTATTATGTGCTTTTGGTATACACATTTGAAGGTCTTATGTAATATAACAACTTGGCTGTCATTAATGAGGCCTATGTGATTCATAGAAATTATGTATATATTATTTGGTAAGATTTTTAATAACTTTAGTTGCTGCACACAACCTATGGGGTCACAATAATTATTACCTTGTGACTAGTCATGACCAGTAGATATTAGATAACCCTTATTAATTGCTTGTTCACTGGGTCAGAAGTCATGCATAATAACCTGATCACATGACAAATTGGCTGCCGATAGGGGGCATACATGTTTTACAGACATATCTTGTTTTATATATATATTTGTTTATTCTGCATGTAAAATGTTACCCTATATTGTTATGGTCTGATGATCACATGCAATTTCTACGCTTTAAGAAGAATTTATTTAGACAATTCTGTCATTAAGACCTTTCTTAAAAGGTATATCACAAGCGACTGTCCAATAATGGATAATTATGTTGGATGCTACATAGTCCAATATGGGATTATATTGGATTGTCATGTGATACAGTTAGTGGTTGATTGCTAATAACTAATATAGAATTTAAAATGTGGGACCACGTTACTTTCATATTCATATATATATTTACAATGACTAAGGTAGTATACCAGTACTGTCACTAGAGCATTAGCTGGGAATATGAAAATAAGGATGTATAAGAGGTTGTGTATGATCCTTTCCTGTTTCTATGAGAGGTGTTGCTATGACAACTTATAATAACTATATGTTTGTATAGAAGTTTTTTATGCTCTCTGTATTTTTCCTTTATGGAGGTTAAATTTGCTGTTTTACCTCTTCGTCCAGCTCACTTATGTGCCTTTTTCTCATGGCATATTCATTTAATGAAATATGTTTTAGATATTTGATTTGCTGATACATTCCATACCACTTTGAGTAAGGTGGCCAAGGTCATTCAGACTATAGGTTAAGTTTTCCTAATTGTAAGCTTATTTATTTGGTCAAGGTCACTGATGCTATAAATAGGTTTTCCTAGTTTTTCTATTTTGTAAGGTTATTGATTATGTCAAGGTCATTGATGCTATAAATAGGTTTTTTCATCTTTTTCTAATTATATGGCTATGTGATTAGCTTTGTCAAATTGACATGAGGGACATTCATACAAGATTTGTTTTATTATAATGATAATTATTATCATTAAATCAATACTATTTGATTTATTGCATTTAATGTATATGCATTGATTTATCTTTAAATATTAAAACAGTCACTAGTCAATGTGGATTTTCTGTATCTATTCAGAATGGTACCTTTATTTACATTTTAAAACATAAATTGTGGTTGATATTTTTGCATTTAAGTTTTTGCATTTGGTTGTTGTTCAGAGGATTTTGCTCTGGAAGTTAAAGTTGTTGTGAAGTTTTTACTTTGGGGAGATTTAAAGAGATTATTGCTCTGCAGAGTGGGGCACCTCTGCAGAGGTTGCAGTTGTTAAGCTATTGCCTTAAAAATTATACACATGCTGCTTTATTTATCGCTCAGAAATAAATATATATCATAACATGTATTTTATTTAATCCCTAACAACACTAAATGTTGTTAATGGACTTGTTCGTCTTTCATTCTGGATAAAACCATTTATCATTTTTAGGTAAAATTTCAAAACATGTACTTACTGGCAAACAGCCAAAAACAAAAGTTTGTTTTGTATTAGAATTAGTTAATATATAGATCATGAGTAAGAGAATATTTAGATCATGAGTAAGATGTCAATGATAATCCTTAATCTGCTGGAACCACAACTAATTTTCCTTTGTTACCAGTAAAGAGCCAGGCAAGCCAGCATGTTGGTGCAGTCTGACCACTGTGGCCAGGCTCTATACAGTTGGTAACTCAATTTTTGTATTTTGATATTGAAATACCTTAATTTTAAATGAACTGTTCCAATTTCAAAGCAGGGCAAATACATTACACAAGTTAGCAGGGTTAACAAATTGATTTGGCCATTGTTAGCATTATTAATTGTGTTATGGCTTTAAATTGTTTTTGTGATTTCAATTTATAACCTTTTAATTCAGGGTATTTGTGATTTTTTTATTAACATTGCTATTTTTGATTATATTTGGATTTACTGGATATTTTTAATATGAAGTTCACCAAAATATATTATATATAAATATATTTGCTTTTTTGTTCTTTCTTTTTTAGCCAATCTGAGTTAAGTGTTCTTTGGTGAAGTTTTGTGAAGGCATAAAGTTTGCCATCTTCTATCACAGCCACAAAGTATTAAGGAAAAAAATACAAACCTCAATACATCAAAAGCCATTGTGAAGATTTTCATCAAACTTTACAGGAACGAACCTTAGTCCTATAAATGTTAGATACATGTTAGTCATGTAGTTCATTTCTACATGAATTTTTTTTTTAATTAAAGAAAAGTTTTAAAAAAGGAAATTGGAAAACAAATCATCTTAGATTAGATATTTGGTATAAGGCATTGTGCCATCAAAAGTTGTATGACTTGTGCAACCTGGCCCCTACCTCTTTGGTAACAGTTGGACTGGAACTGCCCCATATATAGAAATAAATGTTTTTGTTAGAAACTGCACGAGTTAGAGCTTGGAAATTGACGAGTAGTACCCTACAGAAGTTACATCAATCATAAACCTTGTTCCGCTAAGACCTACTAAAGCAATGGGAGCTATAGACCAATTTTCGCTGTCAATCATGTCACTAGTATTGTTAGTTACCTCAGCTTTTATAGCAATAACAACAGCTTTGCTATCACTTTTGTCTGAGGGCAATAACTACTGAAAAACGCACACTTTTACAGTTTGTTGTTATATTTGCACATAGTTGTACCAGGTATATAATACCTTTAAGAAACTTCATTTGAACCTTGGGCATTATACAATTGTATTTTATCCCATTTTTGACCTATAACTGTATCAGTTGTTTCAGTTAAGAAATCCTTGAAATTCTGTAACCATTACCTCTAGGCCAAGTCTGCAGTGCCAGATGCCCCGTACTTATATGGGAACAATACTTATATAGGACTTTTTTGTCATGTATACCAAAGATGGAAGTGAAATGTTTAGCGTACCTGGTCGCCAGCAGAGGATATCGTAGAGTACAAGCAGCGACTTCCAAATAGAATTCTGAAGACCTTGTATGGGTGATTGATTTTAAAGCATTCTTTTCCTGTGTTTACGTACCGTTTAGAAAAATAAGTCTTGAAAGTTATGATGTAAAATAAAAGTTTACAATAATAAAATCAGCTGACAACTTAGTCATTGACTCCAATTAAAATCTATATATCCCTAGCGATGTAGATCGTTCTATACCAGTCGTTATAAATTTCAATGTAGAGAGTAAAAAAAAATATGATTCCTATGCAATCCATAAAATTTATTTAGATCTACATTTAATTTATTACGTAAGTGAAAAGATTATAAATAAAATACTGTTAAAACTATAGTTTCATCCTAAAAATTTCGGATGATAGAAGAATAGAAGAGCATTGTATCTGCACTGTCGGTTTGTTTTCGCGCCAAAAATACCTCACGGTGTACGTGCCGTGTGTGTATTTGGCGAGGATTTGCTGGTTTCAATATCAAAGTTCCTAATATTCTCTGGAATATTAGCGGAAGATTTTCGTTGATCTCAGATTTATATGATTTTAGCGATAAAAATAAGTGTAATACAACAATGCACCCATTTCACGTGCATTTTGGGTTCATAACATGCGAATGTAGCACTCAATCTATATATGTTTTATGGCGATCGTTATCTTTCAAGGTAGCAGAAAAAAATCTTTAAAGCTTTGTTAATCTTCATAAAGAGAGAAGAGAGAGGGGTGAAAAACACATAGCTAATAAAATATAAAACAAACCGGATCTTCTCTCTTCCCCGCGGTACGTGCACGACGTGAAGGGCATCGGAAGAAGATTTGGAGCTTGGCTGATTCATCACCAATGATCCCTTGACTGGTAAAGATCCGAGCATATAGAGTAGATCCTGGAAACAAACTACCCCTTCGTCGCTCGGGAGTTAAGCTTCTATCGTAACTTACCACCTTGACTAAAGCCGAGAGAATTGCTCAGCAAAGTAGGCAGGGACGACGAGGAAGAAAAGTGTGCTGGGGTTCTGCGTGACCCCCAAGCACAGAGAGTAACGGGTTGAAAGACAGGCCCTTTGCTTGGCACCAGCAGCTCTTTTCAATGCTACCTCTTTTCCATATTGTCTCGGGTTATTCAGGTTCTCATTGGCCGCCAAACAGTGAACCCCACTCATATCTTTGGCTTATACACTGCTTTTTGGAGCTGTAATAAAAGTAAGACAATGTAGCACAGACATCTCTAAGCTGCCCGTCCCCTCTATCGTCCTCAGTATCCAAGAGGCCAAAATATATTATTTCCTGGACCTTATCAATCAGGAGGTAAAAGTTTTATTTTTAAAGGTTATAAACATCTTAGGTCTACATGTATAAAAAGTTTAATATACATTTACATTTTGTATATAATGTAACGCAAAACAAAAGATGAGCCAATTTTCACATTTTTCAAAACACTAATTAAACATAGAGTCTTCAGATGATAAATTGCCAACTCTACAAATGCGACACCATACAGTTTAATCATGTCACGGTAACTTGAATAAAATCCACTGAAATAAAAAATCTTTTCTAATAAACGTCTGTCTTCTATAAATAAATAATATTGCGAATATGTTCCCGAATTGAGCACTTACATTCAATGTTCCTGAAGTAGTACATGCACATGCAAAATGCATATTTCATTAAACATGTATAATGGTAAAAATAATTGCAATATTTGGTCATTTATAAACCAATGTGTCGTTTATTGATATTTTTGTTCAAATTTGTTAAAAATAAATTATTTTGCGATCTTCTCTCTACTGTATATGAAACAAATGTTATGAGACTGCTAGTACTTATCTTTATTACTTTTTAAGATCGTATTACACGTGTACAAAAAATGTATTATAAATAAAGAGTTTGAGAGAATTCCGTAATGAAATGGTGCTCACATCCCGCATTCATCTGATGAACTTGAGTACATGAATGTCTCTTAGAAATTCTTTTGTCTTGGCCAAGATAATCCTTATACACATGTAAATAAGACATTATATAATTTTGCTACTCTTTTTTCCTGCAGTTTTTAAATGTCATTTTTGTTTTTAAAATCATCATAAATGAGAACAAGAATCACAAATTTCCAGTTTCTAACTTGTATTAATCAAATTCTGTTTTCAAGCTGGGTAAATTTCAAATTTAATTAAAAATGTAAAATGGCATTTGCTATGGTTTTTACATAGAAAACAAGGATAGAAATGTGTGTTAAAAGTTATAACTGTCCCATCTTGTGTCACAGTGCACTTTCTTTTGATACTTTGCGTTAATGTGTTTATAATACATCGGTTAATGTGCGTGTGTATCAATGTGTGACATAAATTATCTGCATGACACCAGGGAAGAGCATCTATATACACATCAACGTACAATATCATTTTGAGAAATACAATTTCGAAATCATCAGTCGCAGAGGCAAAATGCATTTTAGAAGATATGTATATGTTAATGATTAAAGCCTGTACATAGATATTTTTACGTAATACAACATCTTGTAAAAACTTAAAAGCGCCGTGTCATTGATAATGAAGGAGGAACGTAAGATTTCAGTATAAATATATCACCGACAATTTAGTAGTCTCATCCCAAATAATTAAATTTAGTGGTGGCTGTCTTAAATCTCGTGAGTGTGACATCCGGGCATTCGATGCGTGAATTTGTTGCGCACAAAATCTACGATTCTGTCGTCGTTATAATACTTCAGAAAATTTCTGAATTGTAAGCTTCCAAAAGTCTTAATTATAGATTTTATTCATTTGTTAACATCCATTTACGATAAATTATAGAAATGTACCGCTAAAATTACACAGGTTTTTCCTGGAACACTGGAATAAGTATCGTTATTTACCAAGTCTAAACCCGATTTTCCAGTCAAAACAGCTTGTGAAGGACGGTTGAATTTTTGCCAATTAACTACTTATTCTGACTATTAAATTGTGATTAAACTACAACAGAAGCATTTTGTCTTCTAATGTTTTTTTACGACGTCGTTAAGTTACAAATGTAAGGTTACTTTTGGAAAAATTTTGATACAACTGTAAACAAGGGCACACACCCATTTTCCCATCGACTTTCATTTCTGTTGAGTAATGTTGATGTCACTGGTATGACGTTTTTTTCGAAAAAAGATATATTTTAACCCATTTTAAAGGCTATTAATTGGTTATATACTTATTGCTCTCTATGATATCAATATTTTGAAATGAACTTATTCTGAAGCCAAAATTCATGTTTTAAGCACACAACTTCTTCAATTTCAGACAATGAGTATATTTCTGCAATTAGACCGCTATGTTTGTCAGGGTCTATATTTTATACAGTAATATAAGGAATGAGCTTTAATGTATACTCCTGGTTTATACCCCGGGTTCTGAACTAGGATAAACTAGCCTACATTTAATAAATTGATTGTATTTAAATGATTTATGCTACTTAATTTTATTTTTTGTAATAGGTCTAAAGGATAAAGAGATACATAAAAAACTGTCTTCATTAAAATATTTTGTTATCCAGATATTTTGTAATTAGTATGTTAATCTAGTTTACTTTAATCGATTACAATATTATCTAATATGTGTGCAAACATATATTAAGCTAGAGTAATATTTAGCAATTACTTACATTAGAAATTGTAAAATTTTGGCAGTAAAAGATGTTCTGATATGGTCTTTTGGTATATTTCATTGTCCATAAAAATAATGACCTTGGATCGATACTGTACTACATCCTAATGCCTATTGTTTTTTTTTTAGTTTTTCACTTTAATCAATCGTGATGCAATTACCATTTAGTTTATGAATATAAAATGTATAAATGAAAAGAAACACATGTACAGTAAGGTTCATAAACACAGAAATACATGTATAATGAGGGTGTCGGAAAATAAAACTTACATTTAAAATTTGTAACAACATACACCTAAATAAGGCTCTTTGTAAAAGATTAGTTAATATCTCTGTTACTTAATTACTGATTTCTTCCTATTTATGTTTATGAAAAAGAATACAGTTACAATTGAGTATACTTTTGTTTTTAACTTTTATGGTATATTTCATTGATTTCATACAGCCATTCTAACTGTTAGACTTGAAAAATGATATTAGATATAATTATTGTTTTTTAGACGTGAGATTCAAAGTTGAAGAGGAAAAATAATCATGTCAGGAAATGATGAACAGATTGAGGTAAGAACTGAAAAAAAAGCATCTAATGGTTATTTGAATTAAAACATTTATGAGGGATTATTTCCTAGTATTCTCCCAACATTATATATTATTAGTAGATTTATTTAAATTAGAGCATGACAAAAAGCATTAAATTTGGGGTTTAGGGGCTAATTTTAAAAATACAAAAAGAAAAAGTAATGGTTCAAGAAAAATTTAAATTTAATAACAAGAAGTTAAATTTTGGTTTTTCTTTGTAATGAATTACAAAAACACATGATAGCGGGGCTATAACATTTTCAACTTTACACTTAAGGATTAAATTAGTTTGACCAAAGAATTAATTTTTTTGCAAAAATATTCACTTATTGACCAGTAGGGATTTTAGTATTGTTCATTATTTCAAATGTATATTTCAGTGTCCACTATGTATGGAACCATTAGAAATTGATGATATTAATTTCTTCCCTTGCACATGTGGATATCAGGTTAGTATTAAATTCTTCACAACTGAAAAGTAGCAAAATGTTTAAGTGTGAAGGGCTTCAATTAAGAAATGAACTGGGTACAAATATTGTTCACAGGGTGGGCAAAATTTGATTTTGACTTACTTGTCTTTTTATCTGAAGCACTTCTTTACTTGTCCATATGATATTTATAAAGTTAATTCTGGGGAAAATTCACTTGTCCAATACAGTCTGTGGGGTAACATGGGCAACAAGGACAATTGATTTTTCCGCCCCTGGTTCATGTTGTCGGTTTTTATTATGACATGTCTCAAATATCTAATACGAAAGAGTTTGCGGTCATTTTTGTTTAACTTTAATATGTAATTTTGCGAATTTTACAGTAATTGGGAATAATGCTGTATTTTTTTTTTCTAGTATTAGTTATCTAGGGGAAAAATGATGAATGTTAAGAATCTTAGAACATTGTGATTTATTCTGACCTTGTATATGATTGTAAACTAGCAAATGTAACACTTCCATATTCTGTCTAAAAGGTAAATATTTAAAAAGCTGTTAATAATGTTTACATTTAAGTAATCTCCAAGAAGAAAACTAAATGATATAAGGTTACATTATTACAAGATAACCAAACTATATGTATGTTTATTTCAGATATGTAGATTCTGTTGGCATAGGATAAGAACTGATGAAAATGGTCTTTGTCCAGCTTGCAGAAAGGTAAATGCTTTAATTAAACAGATATTTGTCAGTTGAAAACAAACTAAAATATTTTTTTTGATTTGTTGATATTTCTTACCTAATCCAACTTGTATTTTATTGCTATGGTATGTTCTCCTTAAACTTGGGGAAATTAACTTACCATCTGACAGAAGGTACTACCACAGTCCACAGGGTCTTGCTTGAAATTGTGCACAGAAATATTAATTTGATTTCATCGATAATTTAAATAATTTGCTCATGAAGTGGTTGATTGAAGTAAAGATTATACTTTGGCTTTTATTTCATGCAAAAAAAATCATTGGCTTTTCCATTGCCATTACAGGCATATCCAGAAGATCCTGCTAAATTTAACCCTCTCACAGAAGATGAGTAAGTACGATCTAATGTTCATATCACATTTATTAATGACATGAGCTTGTGTTGTTCAGTGTGTTCACTCGAATGATTCCATTCATTCTTTGATGTATGCATACCACTGGGATTTGTATGACATTTAATTGTTTCAAAGTGAATTAAACAAGACAAAAAAACATTCCTTTGTGTCAGAATATCATTCATATTTCATGAATCAAAACCTTTGCATGATGATGATCATTGAAAAATGCTGAAAAAATTTTCTTCTGATAAAAGCAATTATTCTGATTTTTAAAGCGAGTCGTTTCTCTGGATTATATTAAATGTATTTAGAGTCAATTAATATTTGGACATGGAATTCTTAGTTTCATTGACGGAATTAGGATTTGTCATAATAGTGAAATTTCATTTTCTAGAATACTTAAATGTTAATAAATGAACCTATAACTGAGAGAGAAGGTGGAAAAAGATAATGTTTATTTTTTTAATAAAAGCTATATTTGTGTCAGTTTTAAAAGTTGTAAAAATAGACCAAGCTTTTGTATCCGTCATATCATTTCACATGATCTAAATTGAACAAGCTTAAAGATCAACTTTTACTTTTATATTATCAGATTACAGAGGATAAAGAAAGAAAGACGTCAGAAAGATCTGCAAAGAAAACAGAAAGCTGCAGAAAACAGAAAGCATCTCGCCAATGTCAGGTAAAAATATGGATTTTCCAAGTTCTTAATTTAATTGTGAAATGATTTCTACATTTGACAATACAGCAAAAACTCCCTAAAACAGATACTCTGTATTTCAGAATCCTCTACAAACCGAAAATTTTCCGCAGTCCCGATTTTTTCCCTTTTATTTCTTTGTACAAAAAAAAACTTCTGTAAACCGGAGCTTTTACTGTATAATCTTTAATATTTTCATATTGTTTTGTACCTTAAATTATGATTTATATTGATTTAAAAAAGGATGCTTTGTCTAAAATCATTGTATATTTTGTCGTAATTTTACAGGGTAGTCCAAAGAAATTTAGTGTTTGTTGTTGGTCTTTCTACAAGATTGGCCGATCCAGAAGTGCTTAAAAAACATGAATATTTTGGGAAATTTGGAAAAATTCATAAAGTTGTGATAAACCAGAGTACATCATATGCAGGTGCACAGGTAAAAATGTTTTTCAATTTGGGTCATCCTTGGGTGTTAATATGCCATTTATTGTGTTTAGAAGTCTTGGGAAGTCTAAATTTCTTATTGTTTGGGAATTGCTATAAAAACTAGATAATGGAATTCCTTCTATCTAACTAAGACATATTTTCCATCTTAGTCTATATATTACTGAAGGAAAGAATCTTAATAACAATTTCTATTCACTGTACTGTAAGCTGAAAATTATGGCTCTTCTTTAATATATCTGAATTGTATTCATGCAATGCTAAAATTCCAATTCTAAGAAGTAAGTTTGTTTTGCACTGACCTAATGTGTTGATTGCCTTTTTTTTGTTTCTGAATTTCAACATATTTTTTTTTTTGCAGGGTCCCAGCGCTAGTGCTTATGTAACATATAACAAAACTGAAGATGCTCTGAAAGCCATTATAGCTGTGAATAATGTACATATAGATGGTCGAACCCTTAAAGCCTCGCTTGGAACAACTAAATACTGTAGTCATTTTTTAAGAGGCACGCAGTGTCCAAAAACAGTGAGTTTTGTACTCCTTGTCTAATTTGCAATTTCAAAGCATTATTATAAAATGATTCTTTTTCACACTATGTTTCTGTAACCTTATAAATAAGTCAAGGAAATGAATGATGTGAAATGAGGGTAGTTTATATGTCACATTTAGTAAAAAGTTGGACAAAACTTTGGGCAAATCTGCAACTTTGCCATTGCATATAATATACGGTACACAGTTGTGTATAATTATCCAAAGGTAGTCTGAAAGGATTTGGAATGTTGTAAGATAGGGTTTAAGTTAATTAAGATTCATGCTTTTTTCAAAACTAATCTATAGCGCAGAGGATAAATTGTTTGCTTATCAATTCATGAAGCACTGATGGTGTTTATGAGCCTTACTAAGGCCACAGCCATGTTTCTTCTATATGAGACCAGTCAGGGAAACAAACTTCAAGGGTCGTTTAGATAAGCTTACTGCCTTTGTCACAAACAAGCTTAGTCTGTGTGTATAGATTTAAACTTATTCAGGTAATGTATATAGATGCTCAAGAAGCTTCCCTCTTTATTATTGCATCATTTTGACTCGATCATAGAAAATCAAGTTAATGAATTTTACTGTACAGTCTATGTTTTTGTTTCAGGACTGCATGTATTTACATGAACTAGGGGAAGAAGCGGCTAGTTTCACAAAAGAAGAAATGCAAGTGGGGTTTGTATATTTGTCACAGGAGTAGGATGAACCTTGATTTATTTTTCATTGATTTTAGAATTATGTCTCCCCAAAAAATTGTTTTTGCTTTTGCCGTCTGTCAGTGTCTGTCCATACAAACACAGAGGTACATGTGTGACTAGGAGAACGATAGGTAACGGTACATATTCTTTGATCTTATTCTATTAGTTTTTACGTGTGTCTTTTTTATGCCTTGTAAATGTAAAAATGACTAAAATGATCAAAGGAAAAGTCAGATAAGTACCATTTCGTAAGTACGACCGCTGCACAAAATGGTCGCCCGAGCTAAAAATAGAATAATCTTGTCCGGCTTTCACGTGTCAAACTGCTGGCAGGATTTTCAGCAAACTTCACAGGAGTGACCAGTACCATACCTAGTTGTGGGAGACATATGTTTTTGTGACAAAAACCCCTTCTAGTTATAATTAAGATTTATTGAATGCCACTGCATGTGTGAAAGTTATCAGGATCATACCTGACTGAAGAATTTTTATACTTCCAAAGGCCATGATTTTTCACATTGGAACCAAAATGGCTAAATACAGGATTTTCAGTTTATTTACCCATGCATATATGTGGGCAAAGTGGCTTGAATTTCACATAAAACAAGAAAGTTGATGATAATCATTGCTGTTGAAGAAATGGGATCAACACTGTTTTAGCTTATTCCTATGTACTACATGTATTGAATTTTGTAATTTCTAAATTGCATGTTCTTGTTATTCAGCACTAAAGTATGTATTGTCAAGGTGATATTTCAATCTATCAGTCCATGTGGTATAAAGATAGATTAGAGGAATTTGATTTTAATTGAAACTTTGTTTGACTTGATTACTTGACATGATTATATCACATGATTCTTTGACTTACTAGATTATTTTGTTGTTGTTTATTTTACACAATTATTTTGCTGAATTATGCACTAGTCATTTGTAACCTTGGCCGTCCCCAGCCCCAGAGAATAGTTGGGACTTTGACTTTTAAATTTTCAAACCTCTGTTAACAGATGTGCCACTTGGTGACTGTTATGATAAAGTCCTCACATAATGCCTGGCTCTGATATTTAGACTATCCCAGTATCCCTGGCCTTTTTTTTCACAAAAAGATGTGTTTAGAGACAAAAGGTTAAAACTTGGCTAATTTTGCTCTGCCTCATTTTCCCCTGCCTTTCCATGGGGATTACACTTGACTTGTGCGTTATTTTACTAGATTATTTTATGAAGAAGTTGGTTAATTTGTATGTTTGTGTTTTCAGTAAACATCAAGAATATGAACAAAAGCTTTTAGAACAGTATATGAACAGCCAAAATACAGCACAGAATAATGCCAGTAACAAAACTGCATCAACTTCTAGGTGCGTCAAACAATATTATCATTATTCCATTGTCTTCAAATTTATTGCTAAGCCTTTACATCCTATTTAATAAAAAATCTGCTAAATTTATCATAGAACTTTCAACAAATACTACAGGATTATTCTTTTAGGGATAAATTTGCAATAGTCTCCCACGCAAACATGTACTGTTTAATTATTAGGAGATATTCACCATATATTATCTACTGGCTTGATTGGATGTTTGTTACTGTCACTCTTCAAATTTCGTTCATGTATGTTTACCTGGTGATTTTATTACAGAAAAAAGGCAAGTTCTCCCACACAAGTGATACAGCCGTCACAGAGTCCCCCACACAGCATGCAGCACAGCCCACCTGCACAGACTACACAACCACGCCAAAATATACACAACCATACCACACAACAGGTAAATTTCTCCGCCACTCGTAACCTGATGTCATTTATATTATTAAGGCTGTTAAGATATGTCTCATTTCTAGTAAGATGATAAAAAGTTTGTCTTACTTTTGTAAGTCTGGGCTGTGTTTCACAGTTAGTCCCAAGACTGAAAAATCAGTCTTAAGATCAAAATTGAGACAATTTTGCGTTTCAAAGAAAATGTCTTATGATTCCTATTTAGTGACTATTTCTGAATAGCAAAACATGCAAATTAAAGGGTCTGTCATTGTATTTCTTAACTTTTCTCAGGAAAATGAATTCAATTATAGTCTGCAGTCTTTCACTGAAGGTAACAGTTCTTGAAACAGTCTTAAGTTTGTCCTAGTTTGTTTTTATGTCCTAGGACTTAGTGTACACTTAAGACTACGAAATGCAGTCCTGGAAGCTATGAAAATAATTTACTTTACCATGTCTTTCAATGGAAACAAGAAAGGATTTCTGTAAAAATATGTGAATTTCTTATGATTTAAGCCAAATTCAACAAAATAAATGAGGATATAATCCGCTGTACCTGAAATTCATTTCAATAATACTGCCAACTGTATCATAGAAAATTGGTATGCACTTAGCAGGTTTGCATGGTTTTCATGTAAGTTTAAGAAAATTAGTTTCTTTTTTTTATCTGACCTGCAGCTATGGAGATTCATTATATTTGTGATATATAGTAATAAAAGTGAGTAGGATGTTTAACCTGGAGTTCAGTTTTGCACTTGTCCTGTTTTAAATTTGGAGCTGCCCATTATGACTGGAGAGGGATTTTAGTGTCAAAATACTAAAATTTATTAGCCAGCATAATAGAAACAAATGGTCAGATTGCTTGGATTGAATTTATACTTGTGGCTGAGTTAAGTAACATGTTACAGTTCATGTTAAGCACAAGTTACACGTTTCTCCTGGTTTCAGGACCATTAAGCATAAGTTACACGTTACTCCTGGTTTCAGGACCATTAAGCATAAGTTACATGTTTCTGGTTTCAGATTCCCCCACACACAGCCAACAATGAGGCGTGGCCGTCGTTACAACAAAGTGGGGGTAACACAAACAAAACACAGCTTCCTAATACAGATACCAGTCCAGAGAAAACAAAACCAGAACATAACAAAGCTCCGGGTAAACATAGATCTACAGAAAACACAGATACACAACAACAACAACAAAATAGGTATTTATAGTTTAGTCTAGATTCTATTGCAATCAGTAATTATTGCTTTAAATGTATTGTAAATAATAATGAATTGTAACTGTAAAATTCAGCTTACTTATGAAAATATGCGGTCTCATGCCTGATATAATGCACGGAGGGAGTATGCAGGTTTTTCTCTGCCAGGATAGCAGGAAAGTTGCCATATTACTTCTACTGTGTGCGATGTAAAGTCCAACAAATAAAATAAAAATATGCAACATTCAAAAAGGAATATGAATTCAGACATACGATAAGTTGTATGTATATATATATTTATTTGTAAAAGTATATTTTCTTTCTTTACCAGGCCACAAAATATTTACACACCAACAGAGGTAACAGTGCCTCCAGTAAGCACAACTTCTCCACGACAACAGCCTCCTACTTCTCATAGTATTATCAACAGAAAAACACTAGGTCTAGATAATACGGACAATCTGTCGTTATTTAGCAGTATAAATGGATTTCACGGGGCAAGAAATCCTAAACCCCCGGTCCAACCAGGTAATGATGGTTCCCTTGTTTTGTAATCTTGTTCAGGGACACAGTAATATGGCTGTTAATGACACTCACTTTAAATCACTGGCATTTTCCTCTATAATCCTATTCATGTGCTCAGTACTTAATATTCGTTCAATTAAAGGTGCTATAATATGGTGTTACATATGTTGGATTGGTCCTAAACAGGTGCCAGACTGTTCTTTAGTTGTATGAAGAAAATTTTTGAGCAAAATATGACCTTGAGCATGATATATTTAAAAGGCAAATAATGTATGTAAATTTCATACTATAATATATATTTCCTTTACAGAAAAAAATTGTTGTTTTTATATAAAATATATATACTACAATAAAGTATTTATGTCTCTATTTACCTTTTAAATGTCAGTTCTCATGCAATAAAATTTTGGATATAAGCACACCATGTGAATTTTAGAGCTCATGTTATGCACTTAACTTGCTAATTGTTATTATCTCCTGGGCAGACAAAGGAATTTCAGTTTATGTTATGGAGATTAGTTGTTCTATATGAAATGACCTCTTATTCTTGAAATAATAAACAGAGTAGCACATGAGGTCTTTTATGCACCAGTTAATTTCAGATGTATTTAATACCTTAGCATTACCCGTAAAAGGGAATAATTTGTGTGTGTGTAAATTTGTAGAAGCACCAGAGATACAAACAACAGAAATTCCTGACACAATACCAGTAAACACAACAACAGATTGGCAAGCTGCATTTGGTTTTGGTCACACAACAAACACAAACAAAAGTAAAGATTGGCAAGATGATGATTTAGGTATTTATTATTACTCCATTTCAACTGGCCATTATTGTTTTTAGTCCCCTACCGGTTTAACCGGAGGGGACTTTAGGTTTACCGTCCGTCTGTCTGTCCGTCCGCACTCACAGGACAGTAATTATGTGGCTAGAGAGACAATAGGTAACTGTTCTTTCTCTTTGATGTCATTCATTCAGTAATGCTTTTTTGGGGCTTTTTTTTTGTGTGGCTAAAAAGAACAATAGAGAGAACAATAGAGTAGCCACATTATTACTCTCCTGTTAGAACGTCCGTCTGCCAGTCCGTCCGTCCACAAAACTGGATCCCGCGATAACGCAAAAAGAACTGAAAATATTTTTATGAAAATTGATATATGGATAGATGGCAGTATGGAGATTATGCAAGTCTTTTTTTTTTCTTCCTATGTTGAAAATTCTGGTTGCTATGGCAACAAATAGTCTGAAAATATGGCAAATTTAACACATAAACTGGATCCAGTGATAACTCAAAAAGTACTTAAAATATTTTTATGAAACTTGATATATGGATAGATGGCAGTCTGGAAATTATGCACATCTTTTTCTTTTCTTCCTATGTTGAAAATTCTGGTTGCTATGGCAACAAATAGCCTGAATTTCAAGATTTCTGATTTAAATTTTTCAGCTTTTTCACTATAAGTTCTTTATTTCTTAAGGTGTTTACTTCAAACTTTAAATATAAGTTTCTGGTCATCAACCACATCATATGTGACAAGGTTTACAACTCTAGCACAAAAATTATCAGAATTACCTCCCTTGAACTTAGAATTTTTATGAAAAAAATGTTGTCTTTTTTAAATAACTTCTTTATTTCTTAATGTATCTACTTCAAACTTCATATATATGTTTCTTATTATCACTCAACATTTTTGAGAAGGTTAAATACTCTAGCAAGACTATTTCCAGAATTATGTCCCCCTTGAACTTAGATTTTTTTCGAGAAATTGGTATTTTTCACTCCAACGTCTTCATTCCTTATAGGATTTACTTTAAAATCCCACATCGTAATAATATGACAAGGTTGTATAAACATAATTTCCTTACTAGGCAGGGAAACTTAACACATTACTGTGATATAGACAAACTTAGAACTCAAAAGATTTAAGTTCATTCATGTCATTCATTCACTGGTAAAATTGAATGGCCAATGGCCCATCAGAATGTTGCTGGGGTTCTAACCGGTAGGGGACTTATGGATTGCTTGCAATACTATGATAATTGCTTGTTAATCATGCCATGTATAAAGTAATACTATGCTGGTTTCAGGTTAAGCATAACTTTAAACTTGAAAATAAGAACTGTTTATTGCCTTATTTAATATTTTGTTTATTTGATATCATGTATTGTTGAATATTTGTTTATTTGATATCTAGTACAGTTGAATATTTGTTTATTTGATATCTAGTACAGTTGAATATTTGTTTATTTGATATCTTGTACAGATGAATATTTATATATTTGATATCTTGTACAGTTGAATATTTATATATTTGATATCTTGTACTGTTGAATATTTATATATTTGATATCTTGTACAGTTGAATATTTAAATATTTGATATCTTGTACAGTTAAATATTTGTTTATTTGATATCCTGTACAGTTAAATATTTGTTGATTTGATATCTTGTACTGTTGAATATTTGTTGATTTGATATCATGTACTGTTGAATATTTGTTGATTTGATATCTTGTACAGTTGAATATTTGTTGATTTGATATCTTGTACTGTTGAATATTTATATATTTGATATCTTGTACAGTTGAATATTTGTTGATTTGATATCTTGTACTGTTGAATATTTATATATTTGATATCTTGTACAGTTGAATATTTATTTATTTGATATCTTGTACAGTTGAATATTTGTTGATTTGATATCTTGTACAGTTGAATATTTGTTTATTTGATATCTTGTACAGTTGAATATTTGTTGATTTGATATCTTGTACAGTTGAATATTTGTTTATTTGATATCTTGTACAGTTGAATATTTGTTTATTTGATATCTTGTACTGTTGAATATTTATATATTTGATATCTTGTACAGTTGAATATTTATATATTTGATATCTTGTACAGTTAAATATTTGTTTATTTGATATCTTGTACAGTTGAATATTTATATATTTGATATCTTGTACAGATGAATATTTATATATTTGATATCTTCTGTATTTGATTTTTTGTACAGGTTTCGATCCACTTGAAGAATCCTCTAGAGGTTTAGCAGATCTTATAGAAAAAGAAAATGGACAAAAACAACAGCTACATCAACATAATATGTTAGGTTTTTCGTCACATAGTTCTTTCCAGCCACATTCTAGACAAATGCAGAACAACATAGGACAAAATCTCCCCCCAGGTAAGTTACTGGCATTCTCTCTGAATATATGGTAGTTTCCATGGATACAGTTAGAATTGTTTTCCTTTTTCCTCCAGCAAAAGTTATATATATATAGTTGTTACAAACTTTGGCTTCATTTTACGATGTCACATATTTGTGACATTTAAGAATTTTAAATATTAAGAACAATTCCAAGTTAATTATTTTAAAAAAAAAACAGCGAATATGACCATGTTTGACATTGAGAATTCATATGAATATATTTTCTTAGTTAAACTTTGCTTATAGATTAAATTTTTTTTTTGCTGTTTGTAAAGTCTGTAGGAAATTTCTTTAAAAGTCTGGAAAAAATTGCACTCTCTTTACAAAAAGAAAAACTCTTAGTTTCTTCTGTTATTAATGCACTATTCCTATTTCCCAAAAGCTTTTAATTGTTGTTATATGTGAAGCTAAATGGTAAGTTTCTAAAGAAAACAGCTGTCACAGAGATTGCCAACATAATTGATTCTTTTGACATACATAAAAATCAATAAGAATATTAAATGTTGTACTTGTGTGAATATATATGTTTATTGATTTCCTACTTTTTCATTAGTTTTTCTGTGTTGTTTCTAGTGTAGTCGTATTTAATTTAAAGGGTGGGTTGCCCATTTTTTCAGGGTTTTCACTTAGTCATATAGCACCGCAGTCCCAATTAGGTGGTTCACAGATCCCTCAGTCTCGTACAAATCACACGTCGGTCGCAAACAAAGGTAAATCACGTTACGTTGGTACATTGGTGCGTTGTTATAATTAGTATCTTATTTGTATTTCAATTAATTGATTGATTGATTGATAAGTTGATTGATTGATAGAATTAGCTTAAGATTATGGTGTATATACTGACATATTTGTCACATGGACAACTGTAAGTTGAAAGTTTTAGAAATGTTAAGATTATGATGTTGTAAAGGATACATTGAGATGAAGGCTTGATACTTTCACAGATATTCCTAAGATTTAAATAAAATATCACTTTTTTAAGCTCTTTACTCCTTGTAAAAAGTTAAAACTTCAAGATCTGCAAGGAGTATCAGAGAATTATGTATTATGATCAAATTATTATGTATTTATGAATTGTACATTTTGAAAAGTTGTGAATATTCAACCTTGTATAAGAATTCAGTCATAACTTAGTAAAATTGTACCCCAAAAATGTTGAATTTAACCATGACAATGTTTAAGAAAGTTTGTTTAATGAGTTTTTGCAAATATTTGGTAAAAACCTTGTTATTAAAAGAGTGAAATCTGTGCATGTATCAATACTTGTAGCATCAATGAACTCTTTTTCTATTTTGTTGTTGTTGTTATATTATTGTCTTATTTTATATACATAGAATTCTATGAGAGAGACCCCTCAAAGTGCCTCTTATAGTTTATCACTTCAAATTTTCTCCTAATTTCTATAAGACTTTAAATGGAATTCTCTTTGATGAGTAGATGTATCTACTTTTGGTTTAGCCTTTATAGTGAAAAAATGCTACAGTTTTTGGAAAAGCCAAATAAAAATTGAAATTTCATGCGGTTAAATTTATAAAAAAGTAAGCAATTTACTAAGGAAAATTAGATATTTGGTTAAGGATGAAACATTTTTTATTGAATAACTTCATTTTATGAGTATAACTGGCCCCTAGGTTTTAAAAAAATTCTTCAAGCTTAAACTTATATCTCAGGTATTTGATTGGTCAGAAACTGTCACAGAATGCACACTGACCAATGGAAAACCTGAGATCTAAGGTTTAATAACCTCAAGACCTGTTCTATTATTAGAAACTTATTGATACATCACACCTATGCTTATTCAAAGTTTTCTAAGAAAGTTCACCTTTCATTGTATTTTATTTGATGTTACATTGTTATAATGAAATGTTTAAGGTTTGGTAAGTACATATTATGTAGTTTCAGGGTAATGTTCAGAGTTTCTGATACCTTTACAGTTGTATATTTTGTTCTATTGGTTGGAGTCTATTTTGTTTGAGTTTTGAGACAAAAAAAAACACGAATATTTGAAAAGATTTTGAACATCTATTAAATAAGTAAAACACAAATGTTTCTAATATTAATAATGACTAGAGAATGAAATAAGGGCAGTGATTGTTATTTAAGGACTGGATTTGTGCACTTCATACTAATTTGATCAGCCAATTGTATGGAAGACTTCAATTATTATAATTGTGAAATTTGGGGCAATTGTAAATATTGGGCAATTGTGATATATCAGACTGTTGAGAAACATGGGGCAGGCTGTCATTTCTTTGAACATTACCCTAGCTACAAAGTCCAAGGTTAATGTTGGTTATTGCTGCCTTTATTATTGTAACCAGATACCTTCTATTTGTGTTATGATATTTTTGTCATTGTGATAAAATAAAATTTCAGTTTGGCAGAACTTTCCCATATTTTTTGAAAATTTTGAGTAATTAAATCTTGCTTTGAGGAATTATGCGTTGTTACTGTAAATGGTCTACATCATAGACAAAATAATAAGATTAAGCAATTACATACTAGGGCTTTTTCTGACTGCCTTGAATGCTAGAATGTCTCTATTCTTGTATTCTTTGTAGATTAAATTGTAAAAGACCTGAAAGTAACACATTTTCAGAATATGTTTTAAGTAAAAACTTGATATTATCAAGTATTAAAGACATAAAAGTCTGAGACTAAAGGCCATTTTTTTTGAACAATGAGGCAAAAGTTGTGTCTAAGCATTCAAAAGTTACTAAACTCATTATTAAAAATAAATGTGTTATCATTTGAGTAATTGTTCTTGATTCAACAAGACACAAATGAGTATTTTAAATGACATAATCTCTTTAGCAGTTCTGTTATGCTTGCTTTTGTGCTAATTAAATTATCATTAAAATCTGCAATTAATTTAAATGCTGATTTGGTGAATATGGTAATTTAAACTGCTGTGTATAATCTAGAGATATTACAGAAAGGGAAGAATAGAGAACTATGCAGATATATTGAACTGACAGATGATATTTTGTATTACAGATGATATTATATATTACAGATATGTTGACAAGTCGTATGATGGGTTTAATGAATCAACCTTTACAAAATTCTACGTATCCAGATATGTTTCCTGATTTTTCAATGCTTGGTGGCCCTAACAAAGATATTCATCAACAACCACAGTCGTCTCGTTCACAGGTAATACAAATTTTCTCTATCCACCCACACACCTGTATTCCTACTTATATTCTTTCCGGTATTTCTTCCTCTTTGAGTTTTTAATATCTTTCTGTATACATCTGAAACTTCTATTATTAGTCTCTGACATCAACCTGCTTTGCTTGATATTGAGTGCATCGGATTTGTAATGCAGGTGTCACTGGTTTGATCATGTGGGTGAGGCAGAATTTCCCAGTGACAAATGATCTGTGACATTGAACCTTACAGTCATTTGTCTCTTACGGCTGATTCAGAAATCATGTGGGATAAGTAGTCAGTCACTTGCTGTGGAATTGCTAATTACTGGTTAGTTATCCTGGAAAGTCAGTAAAGTGGACCATCTGCAGAGATATGACCTAAAATGTGTTAAAATTGGTGTCTCTTCAGTCTCTGTATTTTAGTGTGAATATCTAATTATATTGCATATAAATATATTTTGCCGAAGACTTATATTTGCATGTAATTTATTAAGTTGCTTTTACAATGATAAAGTTTAATACAAAAACTTCCTGCAGGGTAAATTTTTTACAGGGAAGTTCCATATTGACAGTGTCAATCTTGAAACATAAGCTTTAAAATAAAAAAATAAAAATTCCCATTAATATTGAGCATCAAGCATTGTGAACGTTGCCTATAGTGCTTATGTTGTTTATTTTTCAGAACGATTGTTTCAATGTTAAAGACTGGCAAGACGGTTTACGTGCATTGTTACCAAATATAAACATCAGTTTTGGTGCTCCACAAAATGATGCACGGACAAATACACAACTAAATTCTTCGCAGAAAAATACAAGTAGGATTTCCATTAATTTGTTTATTTGTTAAAGTAGCTTTCATGTAATGGTTATGCAAACAAAATCTATGTTAGTGTTTGGTTAATTTAGATATTTTGTGAATGTAGAATAGAGGGAAGGTAAATATTCTGAGATAGATCACTTGTACCTGTTGCACGGTTCACACGTGATACCCCTCACCTGCTGAACTCCCTAAATGGACTTGGCCAGCTTCAATTTTCAAGCAGTCGATTATCAATTTTAGGGGTATTATGATGAAAATTAAGAAGTTAGTCATCAACATTTATACCCTATCAGTCTGCATGTATACATAGGTCGGCCTGGCTTTATGCTGGTGACAGTAGGTGTTGTATTTCCGATTTCAGCATCACAGGGGTTAACATTATCTTTTCAGCATGACATTTTAGACATACGTTGAACTGGAAAAATCTTAGGTAGTTGCCTTCTAGTTGGTAGAGGTATTGTTTGATGTGATTGGGGAAAATATGTAGATAGATTCAGAAAGAAAAAAAAGAACAGAAAAAAACGTGGTTTATAAATACACCAAAAGTAAGCAATTTGGGACAAACTAGTACAAAGGCAAAGTCATCATGTGACTATAACAGTGTCAGAATGACTTCAAACCCAACCAGAAAATTAATGGAAAAAAATAATAAATATATAAGCACAGCCTTGACGGTATTTTGTTGAATCAGTATGAAATAGGCATAAATACTTGTAATTGAAAAAAATACTTTGTTTAATGTTGGTTTTTAAGAGGTAAAGTATTTTTGTCAAGAGATTCAATGTAAGTTGATCATTTTAATTCCAAATTGGTTTACTTCAGTTTTATACTTTTCAAAAGCAGAAGGAAGAAAACATCCTGAGAAATAACATACTTTTAATGTTGTTGTTTTTTTAAGCAGTTAAATACAAAAACCTTGTTAGGTTTATTTAGTTTTTGTTTAAAGATTTTTATGCCCCCCTTCGAAGAAGAGGGGGTATATTGTTTTGCAAATGTCTGTCTGTCGGTCCGTCGGTCTGTCCGTCGGTAGACCACATGGTTTCCGCTGATTATCTTGAAAAGTATTTATCACAAAGTCTTCATATTTCACATAGTGATTGGTCATAACTAGTAGATGACCCCTATTGAATTTGGGGTCACTAGGTCAAAGGTCAAGGTCACAGGGACCTTAAATGTCAAAATGGTTTCCGCTGATTATCTTAAAAAGTATGTATCACAAAGTCTTCATATTTCACACAGTGATTGGTCATAACTAGTAGATGACCCCTATTGATTTTGGGGTCACTAGGTCAAAGGTCAAGGTCACATGGGCCTTAAATGTCAAAATGGTTTCTGCTGATTATCTTGAAAAGTATGTATCACAAAGTCTTCATATTTCACATAGTGATTGGTCATCACTAGTAGATGACCCCTATTGATTTTGGGGCCACTAGGTCAAAGGTCAAGGTCACAGGGGCCTTAAATGTCAAAATGGTTTCCGCTGATAATCTTGAAAAATATTTATCACAAAGTCTTCATATTTCACATAGTGATTGGTCATTATTAGTAGATGACCCCTATTGATTTTGGGGTCACTAGGTCAAAGGTCAAGGTCACAGGGGCCTTAAATGTCAAAAGGGTTTCCGCTGATTATCTTGAAAAGTATTCATCACAAAGTCTTCATATTTCACATAGTGATTGGTCATAACTAGTAGATGACCCCTATTGATTTTGGGGTCACTAGGTCAAAGGTCAAAGTCACAGGGGCCTTAAATGTCAAAAGGGTTTCCGCTGATTATCTTGAAAAGTATTCATCACAAAGTCTTCATATTTCACCTAGTTATTGGTCATAAGTAGTAGATGACCTCTATTGATTTAGAGGTCATTAGGTCAAAGGTCAATGTCACATGGGCCTTAAATGTCAAAAAGGTTTCCGTTGATTTTTCCATAATTGAACACTTCCATGTACCCATTTTTGGCAAGTTTCTGTAATAAAATTACCAATTATGTGAGTCAATGGCTAGAAAGGGGGGTATATGTGTCGTTCGACATTCTTGTTCTTTTTTCCAATTACCCATAGCCTGCGGGAACCGAAATTGATTAGCCTTTGCCACCAGTATAGAGCCAGACCAGCCTGCACATCTATATAGTCTGACCAGTCTTTATACTGGTGGCTGACTAATTTTATTTTTTCATCTAAATATCATAAAAATGGATAATTAAAAGTTCAAAAAAATGAAAGCTGGGCATATTGCAATTAAGAAATTTAGCAGGTTAAGGGTTTTTTCCAAATTGAAGAAAGTTTGTGAAAACAAAAATAGATATGCTGCACATTCATACACAATGGGTTAGATTGAAACTAACAATTTGTGTAGGTGTTATCGAATACTTAAAATTTATGAATAAAAGGCGGCAGGTAATTGGTTGAAATTTAATAGTGAATGAAGAAACAAGCACTGTGATTGGTTATATTCAAACACTAGAAGTATGATGTAATACAGTGTGTGATTGGCTGGTGTGTGTTTCAGACTGGTCAGAAACAACAGAAAGCACAGAACCATCCTCTTGGATGTCATACGACCCTGCTATTCTCACTTCAAGCAATCTCTCAGATGGTATGTACCATCAGACACCTCCATTTTACCATCATGCATCTTCATTTTACCATCATTCACTTTAATATACCATCAGACACCTCTAAATACCATCAGACATCTTTATATACCTTCAGACATCTTTATATATCTTCAGACATCTTTATGTACCATCAAGCATCTCTATTTACCATCATACACCTCTGTAAACCACCAGACACCTTTATATACCTTCAGCCATCTCTATGTACCATCAGACATCTCTATTTACCATCATACACCTCTATATACCACCAGACACCTCTATATACCACCAGACACCTCCATTTACCATCATTCACCTCTATCAGACATCTCTTTATATCATCATACACCTTTATGTATCATCATACACTTGAAATACCTCAATCTGCCTCCTGTACTACCAACATTCAATATTAAACATATTCATATACCATCATTAATGTAACTTCTTACACCATCTGACACCTCTATATATATTTATAACACTTCCATCTACCATCATGCATATTCATTTACTATCATTCATCTATAAATAAGGGTAGTAAAATCAATTGTGGGATAACTGTTATGTAAAGGAGCCCCAGGATCATTGATTCTCTTCATGTACCATCAGATTTGTATGAATGTCCCAACACTTTTTAGCTGAAAAACCTTACCCTCGTACACCATTATGTAACATTTACATTTCTGTCTAACATAATGACTTTGAAGCTTGTTCATCATGTAATCAGATCTAGCTAACAGTGTTTTTGATGCTACGCTCTAACTCTGCTCACATTAAGTTTTGCAACTCATCATTTTCACCGTCCTGTGATGCATTGTTTTCATTGGCTAACCAAAGTTTTACAGTGTTTGTAATTTAGATATTCGAGAGCATAACATCTTGTATGTTTAAGTTTTTATCCTTAATACCCTGACAGAATGTAAGTTTTTATCTCTCTACAACATGATTGTGATTCTACACTAACACAACTGAAAAAAATAAAGACTGATAGTTCTTAACAATATAGTCAATTTACAATTTGTTTGTTTTTTTCCCCTGAAACATTTGCATGTTATTTTTTTTTCTGGTTGAGAGTAGGGGATGTTGTGCTTCTATCTGTGACTGTTGGCTTGACTCTTGACTTGATGGTGGCTCTAGTAAACTACCTGAACTGATCACCAGACAATCACACAGTGTCTGTTCTTGGTGATTTCTATTTTGTTAGACCTTGTTCTGACCTTTTTACAATAAGGTTATCTGAATAAATTATGTAAATCAGTTGCTGCAGTAGTGTTGTCAACATGTTGATATTTATGGTAGTTTTATTTGTGAAGTTAGTTTACAGTGACAAAGAATGGCAGAGGTTATGTCCTGAACATTGTACAGTTGCAGAGATGATGTTTTGAAAATATATGAATTTCAGAGAATATCAATGCAAATGTTGTAAACATGGACAACTATAAAAAAAAATTGAAGACTTTGCAGCAAATCTTGACTTTTTTGTCACACTTATAGTGTCATGGTACCTCTTAGTTGAAGAGGATTGTTTGGTAAAAATGATTACATATGTGTTATATATGGTTCAAATTATGTGCATAGAGACTCTACTGTTTTATTGACTGTAGTGTTTTATTTATTGTAAAAAAAAAAGAGAAAAATGACAAAGGTTTGTATTGATGTTGTCAGCTGTTTCTAATAGATGTTACTTCTAAACACATCCTTATTATGATGAACTTTATAGTTCATAGTGAAACATGATGACAGAGTTTATTCCCCTGTTAATATTGGTTTGCATTTCAAATCTCCATGAATATTTTGCCTTCTTTATTTATAATAATTTACTCTAAACATTTCAATTTCCTAAGAAATCATAGAAAAAATAGATGTTTTAATAATCTAGAATTATATTGACTGTTGTAGAGAGGTAATAACCATTTTATCATAAGGGAAATGTTAAAGTATATATACTTAAATACAGACTACTTAATTATACATGTCTAGCTGCAAATATTTTCCTATCTCCAGCATTTATTTGAGATAATTCACTTTCTAAGAGATTTTCTTTTAAAAACGATGCAATTGCATTGCTTTCTATTCCAAAATAATGCATTGTAAATCAATTTGTATTTCATAGATTTTAGATTGTAATCATATTAACAAATGCTTGTGGCTGTTTGACAGGAAACGCTTTATTCTTTGTGATTATATTGGTCAGAATTTAAACCAAAGATATAGCAGACGTAGAATGCATGGCCAACATTGATGGCTTTGTCGTGAAGCTATTTCATAAATATAGTGAAAATGAAACTTATAATGATTGTTAACTTGAAACTTAAATTAGAATGCTTGAAAGCTTAGCCATACTTTGATGTGCTTTGTCTTTAACATGCTATTCATTCTTATGAATTATGTCTTTTTTGCTATAAGATGGGGGGGTTTGTTGTTGTCCTGTCTGTTTATTTGTGGACAACTTTTGTAATCTAGAGCATTCATACTTAAATACAACTTACCTCTAGAAGGAAGCTACATTTTGACGTACTGTTATCTATTTCTGGTCCTAAATTGCAAGCTGGCAATTGCAAGCTTTCACTACTATATGAAATTCACCATTATTTAGTTATTTTATAAAAACACCTTTACTACAAGTACATATGTGTTTCAAGAATAAATCTTGTGAAATCTAAGGTAGCAATAGATTACTTTACTATAATTTCATCATGTAGATAAATGACACAATTCTTTGCATTTCATAATTATGTATGTATCTATCTATATGTTGACATTGAAGTATATTTTCTAGACCTCACAAGGACTTGGAGGGACATCATGTTTATGATTTCAATTAGAACATTTTTGAAAAGTGAATTAGCAAAGATCATTTCAGAGTATATAATATTGTCTTATATTTCAGATAATGGTTTACAAGATCCTCATTGGCTCAAATCTATAAATCAACTAACAGACCTGGAAACAGCCAACCACAGATTGCCATTTGTACACCAGTTTCCAGTCAGAAGTAAGTGATGTATTGGATTACTGTTATTTTTTTTGGTGTTAATTTTTTGTATAGATTTATAGAAATGAAGAGGTGTGAAATTTATTGGTATTATTGATTGACCAGAAGTTTTGATTTGGTAAATGGTCATATCTAAACATGATGGGAAATACATATGACATATTTGACTGATGAAGTTACAAGCAATCTAAAATGGCCAAATCATGTTGGTGTGTTTGTCGGTTGGAGTTTTATCAATAAAAAGTATTGTATACATGTGTTTTATAATTTCAGATACAGTATGGCCTCCACAGACACACAATCCCCCTCCTGGCTTTCAGACACACATCAGACCTCCCCTACAGACCGCAGATCCTCACAAACTTGCTGAAGGTAAACAATTGTAATGAGAAAAAAGCACAAAAAGAAAGCACTTTTTCCACCAACATTCCTTATTATTCAATTCAGTGTTTTACAACATTGTTTCAACCATTTAATATAGTATATTAGGCATATAAATTGTATCATAACTAAAAGTTATTACATTAAAGCTGCTTTCCTACTTGCTTACAATACGATGTTACAGAAACTTTAGTTTAGTTTTTTAGCTCACCTGTCACAAAGTGACAGGGTGAGCTTTTGTGATCGCTTTTCGTCCGGCGTCCGTCCGTCCGTCCGGCGTCCGTCCGTAAACTTTTACTTTAAATGACATCTCCTCATAAACCACTAAGCCAATTTCATCCAAACTTCACAGGAATGTTTCTTTGGTGGTCACCTTTAAAAATTGTTCAAAGAATTTAATTCCATGCAGAACTCTGGTTGCCATGGCAACCGAAAGAAAAAACTTTAAATATCTTCTTTTAAAAAACCATAAGAGCTAGAGCTTAGATATTTGGCATGAAACATCTTCTAGTGAGTGTCTACCAAGTTTGTTCAAATAAAAGCCCTGGGGTCAAAATTGGCCCCGCCCCAAGGGGTCATTGATTTTCCCTATATGCATATAGTAAAAACTTAAAAAATCTTCTTTTAAAGAACCCAAAGAAGTAGAGCTAAGATATTTAGCATGAAACATGTTCTAATGGGTGTCTACCAAGTTTGTTAAAAAAAAAGCCCTGGGGTCAAAATTGGCCCCGCCCCGGGGGGTCATTGATTTTCCCTATATGCATATAGTAAAAACTTAAAAAATCTTCTTTTAAAGAACTCAAAGAGCTATGGCTAAGATATTGAGCATTTAACATTTTCTAATAGGTGTCTACCAAGTTTGTTCAAATAAAAGCCCTGGGGTCAAAATTGGCCCCGCCCCAGGGGGTCATTGATTTTCCTTATATGCATATAGTAAAAACTTAAAAAATCTTCTTTTAAAGAACCAAAAGAGTTAGAGCTAAGATATTTAGCATGAAACATATTCTAATAAGTGTCTACCAAGTTTGTTCAAATAAAAGCCCTGGGGTCAAAACTGGCCCCACCCCGGGGGGTCATTGATTTTCCCTATATGCATATAGTAAAAACTTAAAAAATCTTCTTTTAAAGAACTCAAAGAGCTATGGCTAAGATATTTAGCATCAAACATTTTCTAATAGGTGTCTACCAAGTTTGTTCAAATAAAAGACCTGGGGTCAAAATTGGCACCGCCCAGGGGATCATTGATTTTCCTTATATGTGTATAGCAAAAACTTAAAAAATCTTCTTTGAAAAAAACCAAATAGCTAGAGTTAAGATATTAAGCATGAAACATCTTTTAGTGAGTGTCTACAAAGTTTGTTCAAATAAAAGACCTGGGGTCAAAATTGGCCCCGCCCCGGGGGTCATTGATTTTCTTTTTATGTGTATAGCAAAATTTAAAATCTTCTTTGAAAAAAACCCAAATAGCTAGATTTTAGATATTAAGCATGAAACATCTTCTAGTAAGTGTCTACAAAGTTTGTTCAAATAAAAGCCCTGGGGTCAAAACTGGCCCCGCCCCAGGGGTTTCATTGTTTTTAACTATATGTGTATAGTAAAAACTTAAAAAAAATCTATTTTTAAAAAGCCCAATGAGCTAGAGCTTAGATGTTTAGCATGAAACATCTTCTTATGGGTGTCTACCAAGTTTGTGCAAATAAAAGCCCTTGGGTTAAATAGGCCCTGCAACGTTGGGGGGTGGGGGTTGGGTGGGCCTATATACAGGTGAGCGACCTCAGGGCCATCATGGCCCTCTTGTTGGATTTGTTAGGCAGATGGTTAATTGTCAATTATCTATTTGTTTGGTAATATGTTAATGCTAATGATATAAGTGTACAACAGACATTGAGATTCTGCTCTAAAGTGTTTTTGATCTGTGTGATGATTTATAATAATTTGACAAGTATATGTATTAATTTTGTTACGATAACGGTTGTTAGAATAATGTGATTGAATATTTCAGGTCTCCAGTGAATATTGCAGGCATTACTATGAAGCATTGGCTCCCCAGTCACATCCTGCTGTCCTCATCGTAAGCTGTATCATGCTAAATTTGACATGCTTTCTCTACATACGTAAACTGTCCACTCTTCGTACGTAATCCATGAACTTTTTCATCAACTTTTTGCGCTTTTTTTCTCTACGGACTTCTACATCAAAAGAAATTTTTTCAAGACAATGGAATCGATCAACAGTGTTAAATGTTTAACTTCATTTTGTAAATAAAATTTAAAAAAAAGATTGGAGTTTGTAACAGATTACAATCAACTGTATCTATGAGTGTATAATGTTTTTACATCTTTGTGAACTCTAGTGAACTCCACTACTATATGACATTTAATGACAAATTTGAATAACAAGAAACCTTACAGGGCTTTGAATTGTGTTGGTTTTTTAGCTCGACTATTCGAAGAATATGAGAGCTATTGTAGTCGCCCCGGCGTCGGCGTCGGCGTCCGCGTCGGCGTCTGCGTTGGTTAAAGTTTTTTGTAAAGTCAAATATCTCAATTATTACTTGAGATATTCAATTGAAACTTACAATACTTATTTATAGTAACAAGGTACATCAGATTGACAAGTTTGATAACTCTGCCTACAATATTGACAGAATTATGCCCCTTTTTAACTTAGAAATTTTGGTTAAAGTTTTTTGTAAAGTCAAATATCTCAATTATTGCTTGAGATATTCAATTGAAACTTACAATACTTATTTATAGTAACAAGGTACATCAGATAGACAAGTTGGATAACTCTGCCTACAATATTGACAGAATTATGCCCCTTTTTAACTTAGAAATTTTGGTTAAAGTTTTTTGTAAAGTCAAATATCTCAATTATTGCTTGAGATATTCAATTTAAACTTACAATACTTATTTATAGTAACAAGGTACATCAGATTGACAAGTGGGATAACTCTGCCTACAATATTGACAGAATTATGCCCCTTTTTAACTTAGAAATTTTGGTCAAAGTTTTTTGTAAAGTCAAATATCTCAATTATTGCTTGAGATATTCAATTTAAACTTACAATACTTATTTATAGTAACAAGGTACATCAGATTGACAAGTGGGATAACTCTGCCTACAATATTGACAGAATTATGCCCCTTTGGAACTTAGAAATTTTTTTTGTTAAAGTTTTTTTGTAAAGTTAAATATCTCAATTATTGCTTGAGATATTCAATTGAAATGTAAAATACTTTTTTGTAGTAACAATGTACATCAGTGTGCAAAATTGCATAACTCTGCCTGCAATATTTGCAGAATTATTTGCCCCTTTGAAACTTAGTAATTTTGGTTAAAGGTTAAAGGTATTCAAAGATATTTGCTTGAAACTTTACACATGCACTTAGGGTCATAATTGGAGGGTCATAATTGTATGTCACTGACCAAGTTCCATAACTCTATCTTGCATTAAGGCTGATTCATATCCCCTTTTCTACTTAGTCTCTTGGTTAATGTTTACATGCAAGTTTTACATATCTCAATAACTATAAAAGATATTTATTTAAAACTTCACATATGCTTTTAGGGTCATAATTGTAGGTCACTGACAAAGATCCATAATTCTATCTTGCATTTAGGCTGATTTTTCATGGTAAAGTTTTGTTTGTAAGCTGTTATCTCAATAACTACTGAAGGGTTTGTGCCTTTTTTGGACAATTTTATGCATTCATAATAATAAAGCAGTGATTTCTTGATAAAACATCTTAATAACAAGCCTTTGTACCTTGTCTGTCAAATTTATGTATTCATAGGTAATTAGTATTATTATATTCAATAAAACACCCTTGGACATTACCTTCCGAATAGTCAAGCCAATACTGTATAATTAGACTCTCTCTAAGGCCTATAACATGAATTTATAAAAAAAAATTAGCCCTTTTGTGAACTTGAAAAATTTAACATTATCAAGGCTCTTTTACTATCAAGCACTTAGAATAGTCGAGCGTGCTGTCCTTCCGACAGCTCTTGTTTTTGGAACAGTGTCATGTAAAAAAATCAGTTTTGCAGAAGAATTTTTTTTTTATTGAAGCTGACTTGCTCACACTCACAGATGATGTTTTTTTCTCATTCCCTTAGATTACAATTAAGTGGCACTTTTATCAGTGATCAGTGACATATTTTGACATTATGTTTCATTAGAAGTTTTAGCTGAGTGCCCAAGGGAGCTAACTGTTTGTGAAGTTTTTTAATGTAATAATGGAGAACTCAAATTTTTGTCTTGCGTTTTTCCATATATAACAGACAGTTATTACTGAATTTGTCATTTTTTAAATAGCGCATAAATTATATGTTTCTTGACATGAAATGAAAAAATGATGATCATGTTGGAAAGAAAAAGATTTCACTGCGACTGTGAGCAAGATGTGCTGCTTTTAAATCCAGAAAGAATTTCAATATGGAACAAGTTAATTTTGATAAGAAGAACTTTTACATAGATTTTTGTTGAATTACAAAATGTCTCTTATTTACAAAACTGTTTTAGCCTTAGATTTATTACAACTGTTGAATGCAGTTTAATTGAAATAATAAGTAAATATATGGATATTTGAAGTCCTGTTTTATTTAGGACCGTGTATTATGACATTTCATTACATCAACTGATTTAGTTCACTGGAAACATTAGTGACCTTGGTAAATTGCCATTCATGATTGATAATATAGTGGAATCATTTCATTTTTAAACAAGCATGGAGTTTCAGAGCCTTGGCATACTTTGACATGTTTTATTTTACTTTTATGTCGGTCGATTTAAAAAAAGGTTGATGTAATGATTATCACCCGATATGAATTCGTCTTTTGCACCGGATTGGTTGAATGAACCGGCTTTTCCCCTAGCTTTTGACATGTTGCCAAAAAAGTGAACTGAATTCCTATTTTTTGCCTAGTTTATGATTTTATAGTGTCTTAGAGTGTTCTTCTACCAAATTGCTTTGATTGAAAAGGCATGTTGAGAACAATAGTTGATTCGTTTTGAAATGAAAAAAATGCATTTTTCTTTTGTTAAAAGTTGAAAATTTTGAAATTTCTCATTTGATAGATATTGTATCATTTTGACATGTATTTTAAGAGTTTGTTAAAACACCCATTTGTAAATTTGACATCGGAGGACATTTTTTTTGCAGAAGGAATCGTTTTTGAACTACGGAAATATGAAATTTTTGAACTATTTCTTCTGTCATTTGATTGATTTTTTTTATGCCATATATGTTGTGAAATATTGAGCCATGCTTCATGCCATTGTATTAATACCATACAGTTTCTCCCACAGTGAAGTATGGACACCAGAAACATGCAGTAGTCAAATCTTTTTTACTTATTATGCATTAACATAACTACAATGGTGGTGTTTTCTTTTAGGTAAGCAGTATTTACTACTAGGAAGTTAAAATGAATTGTCAATGATATTTATGCAAGATTTTGCGAATGAAATGAAATGGCTATTTGTCATTAATGTTGATTAAGGTAATTTGTTTCACTCAGTAAGTTTCTTTGGATTTAGCCAATTTCATCTATTTTTTTCAGCATTAATAAAACGATGAACTTTACTAAATTTGAGAGTTCAAAAATACAGCTGCATAATATCCATCGAGTTTCTGGATCCTAACTGATAATACACAGGTTATGTAAGATAGAGGAACTGTTTGGTGTTAATGTAATGGTAAAGTTTTCACTGTTAAATGCTGTGATGCCGATGATTTCAGCCTTAAGTTGTTGAAAATCATTTTTTTGTGACAAGATATTTTTACCAGTTTTATTTCATGTGTCTGTTGTTTATTTCCTAAACAGTATGGTATTTTTTTTCCCAAATATATTCACACTAAATTTTTTTCTTTCTTTTTTTTTAAGAAAAAAAAGAAGACATGTGCGGTAATTAACAAATGTGGGGTTATTTTTTGTCTAGATGGAAATAAAAGGCTAGTCTTTACCTATAGAATAAAGACAGCTTAAATTATTGAATAGCTATTTAGCAGGTTGTAGAAAGAATTTTTTCGTCAGGATAAAAAACCAACGTATAACGGTTAACTGTACCATTTTATATATGTATTCATTACACAAGGAAAGGGGATTTAATAAAAAGAGGTGATATAAAGAATATGATAGTAAGCAAGTTGCTCTGTGAAGTTACTGATTTAGAGGTTATAATGTAGAGGGTATAGATGCATGACGATAAACTGACATAGAGATCAGTGTTGCCAAACTATCATCTGTCATAGGTATTTAATTTATGTGTTACTGGTACGGCTATTACCAAGTTAAACCTAATAAATCTATCAACATTATATAGTCTCTGTATTTTATCCGTTTCCTTTGTGGCTCCCATGTCCATTAAGGTAAAGGACACTTACCTAAGATATTTGCCATTCTTTGCAGTAGGTCTGATTCAGCTATCATATCTAGCTAGCTTGCAGATTAATTTTACCCAGGTATCTAATTTTTGCTTGAAATAATGCACACAGAGCACAACTATTTCCTTGTATAAAATCTGACAAAATCTGAAGTGTATTGTTGGTCCTTAATAGGATTATTGACCATTGGAAAGCAGGGATGACAATTCTACATAATAAGCAATGATAGAGAAAAAATATTATTAAAGTCCCATAATTTGCCTATTGAAATAGCCCAAGTCTAAAAATATCACAACTATATGTTGAATGACAATAGACTTTCACTCCTCAAAGGACATTTACATAACAATAATTGTTTTTCTGTGAATTTCCACAATTCCTGCCTGTAATATCCAGCCCCGAGACAAGTCGAAAATTTATTATGGCGAAGCTTTTATTCTGTGTTTTTGTCTACAATCTAATTATGTAGGGGCGGTCATGGCCCGAGTGGTTCTACATTTATAAATAATACAGCTTTATAAGGACAGAGTGGTTGACTTTAAACCACTTGCCCTCACCACTTTGGGTTCGAATTCCAATAGGAGTCTTATGCTCATGGAGAGGTAACTTCAGCCACAAAAGTGAAACATAATGAAAAATTCATCACAGTTTTATTGCATGGCAATATTTTGTCAACAAATTAACAGATAACAATAATGATTACAATAATAACAAATCTATAAACAAGTTTTTATCTCTGATACATTCACAATTATAAACAAACTAAAAAAGATCCTCAAAACAAGCACTTAATGCAAGTATTATGCACAAATAATCTTACTTTGCATAGTTAACATAAAAATTAAATGACTGTATGAAATGTGGATCACTTTAAACGAAATTACAAAGTAATAAATTTCAGCAACTTTGTAGTTATGTTTTTGTATGTACAGAATTTGGAAGAGAATTTTGTTGAAGAGTTGGAATGTTACCATACTTTTAACACACACAAAACATTTGCTTAGATAACGACAATTCCTTATTACCTATCAAAATGTATTTTAAGTAATGTTTTATTTGTAACCATAAAAATAGTCCTTTATATGGCATGCCATGGTTAAAAAATATACAAATAGATTTACATATTTATATTGACATAGCAAAAAGCATCTACTGAACTCTGAATTTTGGTAACAATATACAGCTAGCATCTGTGCTGTCTTACCAGGCTCAAAACTAATGTTCTTTGTAAAGCAGCATGCCTCCAGATGCTACTTTTCGTGAACATTTTGAGAAAAAAATATTTTAAAGTAAAATAAAATTAAACCACAAAAGATGCACCCCCTTAGAAAATGTAGTTTACTCGTATCTTTTTTTTCTTTGCTTAAAATCTTGGCACAATTTTCTCAAGTTAGATTTTCTGGAAAAAGTAACTTAGGCTCATCTGTAGGCATCCTGCTTTAAACTTGACCTGTTCTAAATTCAAAGCATGAAAAATCAAACAGCAGGTTCAAGATTAATGTCAGCTTTTTTTCACTGAAACTTTTAAAATTATCAACAAACAGAACCAAGCAGGGATGGTACATTGTAAAAATCAGACATCAAACATCCATAAAAATTTATATGCTAACATCATTATACAAAATTTCATAAAGTTCTGATAAAATACTCCATACAATTTTTAGAATATTTTAATAGACCCTTTAATTGTTCCATGACATTTAACAATGTTTTTGAGCAACTACCCTTTCCCATGAAGATAGCACTAGAAAGTGCATCTATAAGGTAATTTTTTTTATCTTGGTGAAAACATGAAAAATATGCCATTATCAGACATTTACCTACATTAATTTAACTGTCTTAAAAAAATACCGTTTTAAACCCAACATGGATATATTTGTAAATGTGTGAATTTATAAACATGTGAATTAAGAATCCAATGAATCTTACGGATGATAAGTTTCCCAGACAGTATGTTAAAAGGTCGACTAAATATTTCAATATGAAAATGCAGAAATTAAGGTATATCTGCTTAACTTAAATATTTTTGTCTCAAATGTATTCACATACATATTCAGAACTTGTACTATAAAATTTACTATTACAGCATATAAAGCTATATCTTATGAAATATTTTTATAAGATTTATCAACAGTTAAACGCAAACTGATGGTCAATTTCTTGAACCAGTTGTGACTTAAAATGTCTATGTTAATCAAAACACATGGATATTTTATATATTTATAAACCGAATAAAATTTTACCGAACAAAATATGCTGTAATTTTAGGTAAGGGGTTTAACCATTTAGAAATGGTTTTGTGCACACACCATTTGCTTTTAAGGGCAATATACTACCAAATTTCTCTCATACTAACATTTACAAAGTATTCTTAAAATCCAAACAATAATTTTCGCAGCATATACATAGCTTTATACACTTAATAACTAGAAATACTTTATTATAAAGTATTTCAATGTGTACATACATGTATTTACTTTCATTTAAACAAACATGCCTCTAAATCCATGTCAAAACTATCTTAACATTTTAGCACAAAAAAGGCAAAACTATTGTTATTTACATTTATCACAGACTATTTTACTTGTTACATCACAGTAGGCATATTCTTAACAGTTTAACCTGTTGAAACAGAAATTGATTAGCCTTTGCCACCAGTATAGAGCCAGGCCAGCCTGTACCAGTGTGTAGTCTGACCAGGCTCTATACTGTTAGTAGCTTATTCCTTTGTATATCAATAAAGAAATTCTTTAAATTTTGAATAGAATATTACCAAATTCAAAGCAGGGCAAAATCCATTACTCCAATTCAGCATGTTAAGAGATAAGAAAATTGAGTTCATTTTGTACAACAATCACCTTGTATTGAAAATCATCATCTTTTTTAAAGTGACATTAACTAATAATTCGCTGTATCGCACCTCTTAATCACTGGTTGTGATATCTAAATGCCCATGCAACCAGTACAGACTCAAGCCAGCATGAAGATTGGCGTGTTGATCATCAGCAGTCAGACCAGGCCCTGTACTCTTGGTAGCTTTTTTTTGCAATCTTACACCGGTATACTATTGATTAAATACAATAATCTTTTCTGATACATCTAGGGTCAACTACTATAAAGCTGATAATATCCCAATATATCAAAGATGAGACATTTTTACATTCAAACAACCATAAAATAAACATTTCAATGAAAACATTTTATAATCCACTGTATAAAAAAACCAATAAAATGGCCAAAAATTAAACTAGTCTGACAGAGGTCATGGATGTCAGATCTACTTTGGTACAATTTTGTACATAGGAAGATTTTTAGTTGACAAGTAACAGCTGAAAAGATAAAAAACCAGGATGGAGGTATAAGTTGCATGAATGATGCAATATTTCCATTAAAAAAGAATTAATACTGGTATTAAAGACATTTCGCATTGTCAGGCATGTTTGATTTTCATTTAGCGGGTCCAAAGTGGAAGTAGGCCAATTTTTATATGCAGACAAAGCTTACAATGTAACATGATGAACAGTTTGCTAAAATACTTTAAAGGCTATGCATTTAAGGGCTAATATACATAAAACTGAGAATTGTAACAAAAACAATACACTTGTATTTATCTGGAAATGTGCTAAATTGCTGAAGACAAGGTAAAATATTTGTATGAAGATGTATGAACATTACATGAATGGCAAAATCCTGTTGTAGTGCAGACAGATGCCAGTTTTTTGCAACAAGCACAAAGAACTTGTAAAATCTTAATTCCAAGTAAAGCAGTATCTTGTGTCCATCAAAGCACATGGCCTCAATTATTGTGTGTAAAAAAGTAGTGCAAGGAGGCAATCACCATTTATTGACGCAAGAACTACAATTATAATGAAAACAGCAATCATATTTTCAAATTCAACCTTTATATTTGGTAACAGTGAAGTGAGTATGTCTGCATAATGTACACAATAAATGGATAAAAAATGTTTATTTCTCTGGCACTTCTAAATTCTTACACACAACATGGAGGCCATGTTTTTTTCAAGGTGAGAGAAACTGCTTTATTTAGATTTAAACTTTTGCAAGTTCTGTATGCCCTATAACTGACTTTAAACAAGATTTTGTCATTTAAGAAATGTGCATAAAACCTTACTAAAGATTTTACTTGGTCTTCAGAAATTTAACACTATTCAATGTAAATATTTTTGTTGTTAAAATTTTCAGTTTTATGTATATTAGTTCTTAATACATAGACTTGGAAGTGTAACTGCAAATTGTTCATCATCTTACATTGTCTTTATATTCACTTTGCATCCACTTAGTGAAAATCAAACATGACTGACTATGCAGAATCACCTTAAAGGAGTTTCTATGTTCGGTTTAAGGATATTTGTAAATATCATTTAAAACATTTCAATACTGATAGGAATATACTTTCAAATTCAATACAATATAATTTAAAACATTTCCATATCCTCACACAGAAAGTAGTACTTGCATACAGTATACACCACTTATAACGATATTCTGGGGACGGCCAAATTCATATCCAGATATCGATATATCCAAGAGGCAAGCAATTTGAAAACAAGAGTTCGGATCATGGCAACAGCTATATTTAGCATTATATTGTTAAAAGCAATATCATTATAAGTGGAGTTTACTGTATTTGAAAAATTAGTAACAAAACAACTTAATAAATTTTATCACTATCGTTTTGATTGTTTAAAGATTTTCGCATGCCTTGAAATCAACAAGTTTTCAGAACATTTTCTTGGGGTAGAATTTTGGTGCATCAGGAGATTTTGGTGATGCAGGTAAAGCAGTTTTTCTGTGTGGGACAGTGTCTCGTGCCCTCCAACCTAGTGACCCGGAACAGTCTGATGTGGATGTGTTTAGTGAAGCAGTCTGGTCACCTCGACAGTCCATGTAAGAATCTCTACCTATTTGGTCAGCATAGTCCAGTATATCCATAGCTTCAACCTAAATATACATAAATAAATAGACTTCCAAAGACCGACTGACTCCAACATTACACCATTGAACATACACAAAACAGAAACATCATCTTTGAATTTATCCTAAATATATCAAGGATTACACAATTAAATTATCTAAGGTGGTGAGATAACATTTGTACTTCTTGTTATTGAAATGAAAAATCTTGATTAGTAATAGAAATGTTCACAGCAATGCTTCAATTTTAGGGCTATATTATAAGTGTTATGTACAATCACAAGAGCTTGGATAACAAAACACAATTTAGTATCTGACACAGGTGGTTCAGACTCTGTACCAGCTAAGCATACTCAATTAGTCACAAATTGTAACTGAAAGACCTGTTCTGATGCAGTACTTTAAGTGTAATCTAAAGCTGGAACATATGACATTAATTATTATAGCGAGTATGAAAATTATCTTAATGAACAAATATAGACACTGACTGAAGTGAAGTTAAGGAAAGTAAAGTAAGTAAAGTAAATAAATACATGTAAAAGTAAGAAAGTAAAGTCTTTATTTACTGTAGCTACATTTGGTTACCCAATCTTCCATGTCGGCCAGGTTAATGAAGAAGTTCATCATCAACATATAATTAGCATATGTTTGTTAAACCTTAATCTTATAAGGATTTTGTATTTGATAGAAAAACAACAATTTTCACATGTGATCTGTTAAGTTCGCATGCCTGAAATCACAAGTTTTAGACTTTTCTTGTTGAACTTTGTGCATCAGAAATGAATAAGAGTTTCTTTAGTTCTCGTGCCAAAAGAAAGAATTTGTATGTGTTATGAAAGTGCAATATGTAACTTTATTTGGTATATCCCCCATCGCCAACCCAAATATACATAACAATAAACTACAATGAAAATATTCTCGTGCCTCAACATTTTCCAGTAAAAGACTATCAAAATGATAATAAAAACAATTTTTTTACCAAAAACTTCCCAATGATTTCACAAAATGTTAAACAAAAGAAATTTTTTCATTTTTTCACGGTTAATCATAACTTTCACGCTTTTTCTTTAACAATTATTTTAAGTACATTGAATCAAAGGCTTGGATAATTAACACATGTTTAAAATGGAAAACTCAAAATCAAGTTTCCGCTACAACTAAAATGAAGGTATTTACCATTCATACCAATAATAATCACATTGCACAACTAAAGCGATATGAAATTTAATGGTAAATCCTTGACACAAAAAAAATAATCCTATATGAGGCTTTGTTTTGGTTCCATCTTAAAGTCGGACCATAAAACTATTCAATATTTTAAGGAAATTCCCAACTTTGAATTGTTGTTCAGAGAGAATGCAATCTGTATAGTTACATGGCCTTTTGGATTCTGTTACCATACATATAGAAGTAGTTTGTTCATGCAAAGGAATCGGGCAGAAATCAAGCCTCCCCCACAACATGTCAGGGTATTAAAAACCTTTTGTTTCATAAAAGGACTATAGTAATCATGTTATATATAACTGCAGCAGAAAGGTAATGTTACCTGCACATGTGAATTAAATTCTCCAGAATCTTGAGAACAATGTGAACATTGACTGTTACTTCGGCCTTCTCTCTTCACCCAATCTGTCAGAGAAATACATGTAATTCATATTTCATACAGTCATAGTATCATAATTAAAATAAGATAAGTTTTTCTTTTAAAATCCTGGTAACGGCAAATATTGTGATAAATCAACTTGGTTGCAGATAAAAAGCTCACCAAAAAAACCTAGACAACCCCATACTTTAGCCAGTTTAATTGAAATATTTTTACTGAAATAATATATTACAATGACATATGATATAAATAACTATAAAATGTACTTGCCTAAAGTTCTATCAAGACCTGAAACCTGCCTTTCGATGAGTAGATGTTGTTTTGATCTATCTTTCAGTATATCATTTTGCTGCAACAGATTCACAGCTTCAGCTGATTTTGTGTCGATTTCCATCGGTTCAAACATGTCTCTATCATAATCATTCTCCTCATTGACCTGTAACAAACTCGTAGCCTCCCAACTCAACACAGGGGACCGAGGCATTACTAGCTTTACTCGACTTTTAAGTACAGGAGACTTTGGCATTTTCTGACCACATGATGTACTACTACCTGGGAAGAAATAGTCATCTTCCTCTAGTTTACTTCTAGCAAAGAAGTAATCTATTCCACTAAATTGATTCTTAATGGCTAAGTTGCCACTTTTAATATCACCACTGTGACTGTTTTTGTGTGTGTCAATATATGATCTGATCTCCGCCTGAACTTTCTTCCTCCTATGATCTAACAATCTTGAATTGTTATATAAATGATGTAAACTCTCCTCTTCATAATCATTCTCCTTACCCTCCTTACCATTAGCATTACCATTTACATCTAACTGTTTATAACTATAATGCTGATCTCGGATTCTTTTTATGCTACTTAAACCAGTATGATATACATTTCTTACATCACTATGAGATTTTCCTCCATTATTATTAGTTGCTTGAAATGGGTTTTTATCCGCAAAGTTGATCTTTGGCACCATAGAAATATGTTTATTGAAAGAATAAGCATGTTCTGTGTCATTCTTATTACCAACATCCATCACATCCGCTGCATTTCTTTTATTATCTAAATATAAAATAAACAAATAAATTGTTGTTAGGCAGCGCGCTCAACTATTCTCAGTTCCTTACAGTTAGGAATGGGGAATAACTCTGAAAAAGTAACTCTCCAGAGTTATGGAACTTGTGCCAATTATTCAAACAAGTGTCCATTCCCTTCAGTAGTTTTTGAGATACAAATTGCAAGCAAAAACTCAACCAAAGTGTGACAGAGACGCCAATTCCCTATTCTTTGAATAATAGAGAAACAAAAACAAACATTATATAATTATATGTTAATCATTCTGGTCTTATTCCTTTTCAAAAAGAACTTGCACACCCACTGGCTCTTAAGTATGAAATGAACATAGTCATAATCTAATGGAATACCAAACATGATTGCTTCAACTCCCTTTTCATACCTTTTAAGGCAATTTATGACAAAGATATTCTAAGGTATTCTATATTCACTACTTTAGGAATTACAACAATGAAATCCAAGGAAACAAAAATCCATATTTCAGTCTTTCAGCAGTGAGTTCGAATCCAAGTTATAGCCAAAATATACATGTGAGTGGGTCATTTAGACTTACTTCCACCTTACATAATGCAATATGAGTAATCTATTGCCTATTGATCTGCTTTACAGTAAAACAGAAAAATTGCTGTATCACCTGTTTTGCAGTTAAAGTGCCAGTTGATACACCTAATCAATTATATATATACTAACAATATGTATATGTAATTAAATTATCTTAATATTATCATCCAAAATTAAACTGGTCATAAGTTTGTAACCTTTTTCATCTTCCTATCTGAAAGCTTTGTGACTGTAAAAGATAAAAATAAAAAAAATGATATTGAAATATTACCAGTGAAACAATTACCGGTACTGTGTGAGTCTTTAATGTCAAAAGATTCCACCAGAGGTCTCCTGACCGAGCCAGATTTAGTTATAGTGCTGAACACAGGCAATCTGGTAGGTGTAGCACTTCTAGGAGCACTGCAATACAGAATCGAATCACAGTTACATACCATTTGATGGTTGCCTTTACAAGGTTATCAATATTCAACAAGTTACTGTCAAACTTGTACTAAAGGACCAACTCTTTTTAAAGACCTTACAAAAAAACTGTCACAAAAGGCCATGAATTTTATATTTATTTTCCAATCTGAACAATGCAGCGAAAAAAGACATGCATTGAGATGTTACAATTTCTACTTCAGTTTGATAGTTACCTCTTGATCTGTAGGTCCTTCTACAGTTCAACACATATGACCATATTGTTATAAATGTTCATACAACAATGTTCAAGGAATCAAGTAGGATTGTTAATGATTTCAAACAAAATACAATGGTATTTATTTTTTTACTGACTTTGAAAAATATGGCAGCATTTTTTGCACAAAATCAAGTGGTGAAAAAATTATATCTCAAGCTCATATGAAAGAAAACTACCACTAAAAAAGTTCATGATTGAAAATATCTATCTTTTCCTGTAAGAGAGATTGCCAGGGTTGGACTGAGAGACATAAAGTATAGGCAACTATATTTCATAGTTCATTTGCAGTATGATTAAACTCCTGTGTGATTATTCTATACCATATGATCATGGTCACATGGTTCAAGGTAACAAAGTTGACAACTTCAGCTTTATGCTTGCAGACACCCTTTGAAAAGTTACCTATAAATTATATATCTCCCCTATGCAATTTTTGTCCACTTAAATAATATACAACATATAACATGAAAATAGTGTACAAAAAGTGTCAGTGTATAATAAACAGTAATATCTTGAAATACAACACAACAAACAATAAAATATCTTATATTATTACTTTTGCTTCAAGAGTTTCAGCAACTCATCGTGGGTCTCTTTCAAATAATCTGAAATACAGGAAATATAAAGTATGAGCATTTTCTTGTCTTCAAATCAAAAATACATTCATCATTTATATGTTTAAACTTAGAAGTGAAGTTCCATGTAAAGTCTTTTTTTATTTTTACTTTATTTTATTTTTCTATTTATATTATTTTTTAAGTCAGTCAACATTGTGAATGTTATATGGCAATTTTCAGGCCTATCTTGTGGTGGCAACCCACATACTCTTTGGTGCATTATTTCAGACACAACCGTCTGAGTAGAACAACCAACCTTTCGTAACCTAGTGGGTTGAGGTTCCTAACAAGAATACAAAGTTCCTGATGGGATTTAAGTTCATATCATTCTGTATCTGTAATTTGGCAGATTGCAGTTACATGTGTTCTATGCAGTTTATAACTAGGTTTCAATTCCTATAACTTCACATTATATATCATATGAATTATACTGGAATGCAAATGACATTTTAACTTTTTATCTTGAACAAAAACTAAGTAGAGCATTCAATGGCATGGACAGATTCTTGGTCAGAATACCAAGCATTCTCTATAATGAGCTATATATTAGTAGAACATTATTTTGAAGTATTCAAATCAAAAGCTTGTTGAACATTACTTTACCTCTTCCGGGATATAGTGTTCTTGTATGATACTTGAGTGTTACCAACAATGAAGCTACAGTTTCCCCCACAGGTAATGTCTGAAAAAGAAAAAAAATCACTTTTCCTTACAAAAATAATACAAGTGTCTGATGTATGTATTTATTTCACAATGTGAAAAGTACAATAATATTTAAAGTGAAGAGCACTATGATCAAATGAATACCATGCCCTTGTGTGTGATCCTGACTTTAAACCAATGACCTATAATTGGGTCTTGAGGATAGAGTTCATCATGGTGCATGCACATGTAATGTTTGGAGGCTGTAGGTGCAAGGACTTGCATGTTCTGGTCAAGGTTAAAGTTTTGTGTAACATTAAGGAAAATAGTTTTATTGTTTTATGCCAAGAAACTGTACTCTTTTTTTTTTTTTAAAGAAAACTATAAATGCTACAGACACATTCTTTTAGAGAAGAACTGTTTAAGATAGCAGACCACCAAGCATCCATCTAAAAATGTCCAATAAGGTCAGCCTGAACATTTCAAATGAAAGATTGTAGCACAAACAAGTGAAGTATAAAATTATAATTTTTTCAACAGAGTGCCCTTTGATATGAGTGCACTTTAACAGTAACAAAATTCATGTAATGTGTCAATTACATCTACTTTTCTATGTCATCTTATACATTTTACCTCTGGAAATTTTCCACTTCCAACACCACTTTGATTTTGCCTATCTTTAACACTCTCCGCACTACTCCTGAAATATAATCACACAGATTTCTTGATAAAATGTTACATCTCGTATTTAAATTCCCATTTGATTAACTTTGTCTTAAATGGACTTATCCCCTTTTCAATCAGAATAATACTATTCATCATTTTTTGGGAAAATGTCAAAATATGACTAAATAGCAAACAGTGCAGACCATGTGTCATCTGATCTTTGTCTGCACTGGTCGCATGGGTAACCGCCAGCAGTATAATAGGGTTCATCACTTATATAGTCTTTTTTTTTGTCTAGAACTGTTTATAACTAAGAAGAGACACAAAATTTTCAGTATATACAACCAGTCAAGTTAGGTACAATTTTGGAAATTGTAATATGATAAAGTATAAGGAACTTAGTCCCATGTAGTTTGATAGTTAAGGTCATTGATTTCAAATCACTTTGCTCCTTTAAACACTTGGTTGGAATCCCACCAGGGACTTTAGAAACTTTCATGTGAGGCAGCTATCCAAGTAGCTTATGAAATGTCAGTGGTTCTACTTGGTGCCTGCTCATGCCTGAAACATTTCAGGAAGAATCATCACTTGAGGTCTTCTTTCACCAGAATGCTTGAAAGCCACTATAAGACCTTTAAAGTGTCAGCATGACCACACAAATCATATATGAGGAAGCTATCCAGCCAGCTAAAGGAATGTTAGGTAGTTCTACTTAAGTAGTATTCTACTTTAAGTAGTACTTCAGGCTAAGTGAAGGACAAAGTTTATCTCATCATTAAATATGGCATTATTATGCATAGTATATATAATAAGTAAAAAATATACCTGTAATTGTATCATGACAACATTACATGACAAATATGATTATCAAATATTTATACAAAACAAATATGATTATCAAATATTTATACAAAACAAATATGATAATCAAATATTTATACAAAACAAATATGATTATCAAATATTTATACAAAACAATTATGATTATCAAATATTTATACAAAACAAATATGATAATCAAATATTTATACAAAACAAATATGATAATCAAATATTTATACAAAACAAATATGATAATCAAATATTTATACAATCAAATATTAATACAAAGTTTTTTATACATAAGGCAGACATAGTGTTTATTTTCTCATTCCCTGGCATTTGTACTTGATTTACTATAAAAGAAATAAAGACTTACGGCACAGAGAACTGGGGCCTCATATCTATAGAAGCTGGTGTCAGTGACTTCTTTTCAGAACTACCAGCTCTTACTCTACTCAAAACCAACCTGAGATAATTAAATAGCATGATGATATTTTTGTGCTAGATAATCTATGGCACTATTACAAATGTAAGCATACCAGCACCAATAAAATGATACTGGTATTACAACAACATTTGAAACTACATTCAATGCTCATGTTAGACAGGGGCAATTAAAATTGCCGTTTCATTTTTAAGTGCTATAAAGCAGTTTCAAGTTAATATGCTTGCTATATAACACACTAAAGTGTAAAAATTGCAGCATTAACAGCAGGTAGAGCACATGTAAAGATGGATATTTTCTCACTTCAAAGTGAGGAAGAAGAAGAACATGATAATACATATCTAGCATCAGTTTGTGGTAGTATATGCATGATTCTCACACCAGTACATTTTCTAATTTTGTGCAGATTCTTTATCTTTTGAAAAAAAAAAAAAAATACCCCTATGTCATACATGTGAACTCTCCCACTTTTAGCGAGAGACTCCCACTTTCTGCAGCCATATTTTCAAAGATTTTTCTAAAAATAAGGGGTATTTTCATAAATTAAAGAAATCTCCCTCTTTTTGATGTAGGACTAGTCTTTCTACTTTGTTTATTGCAAATTTTAAAATCTCCCTCTTTTTGAAGAAAAATATCCCACTTGATCATCAAAAGAAGTTCACATGTATGCTAAATAACCCACCATGCTTTGTCTTTCTACATCTGTCAATTGTCAATTTCTAGATAATTAAAGTTAAGAAAAGTATTTCAGTAGGTTAAAGGTTTCAAATAAGTTAAAGTCCTACTTTTCAGCAACTTCAATATCTCCAGCCATATGTAGCTCAGCCTCTGCTTCTTCACTCATCTTTCTGATCTCTTCATCTGTCTGTTTGGAGATATGTTCTGGAACAACTATACCTGTTCATGAATTAGGAGCTATAAGTACATCTTTATTAACTAAAAGTTCTTAGTTTCTATGAATTATCAATTATTGGTAAATAAACTTGAACTGTAAGTAAAATATCTTGAACCATGTGTACATAATCTTGATGAATTTCAAGTACTAAATCTTTCCTTTGAATCTTTATGAAACTAAGTACTTTAAGTATATTGGTATATAATGAGTGGATTGAGCACAATTGCCATAAGTATTTCAAATACTGATGAATACAATAGAAATGTATCATTTGGATATTCCTAAACAATATTACTTGATAAAAAATATTGATAAAGTTTAATGTGATTTAGTATGAACATTTATATGATGAATAATAATATTTTGTTCTAAATATTTTATTATCTGCTATATGAATATTTGAATATGTGAAATATTGAATCATATATATCTCACATTTACCAATTACATCCATATATAATTCTTTGATGGTTTGTTGTTATGTGTGATACTAAATACTATCAATGTAATTATCTATTGCTATACAGATTTCCATTTTAGACAAATTCACTCAAAGTTCTCATCTTTATAAACTAAAAGCTCTTAATGTTTATGAATGATAAGTACTTGTACTTTATCTTTACGAACTGTAAATACTTATATAAAGGGAAGAAACTATGACAGAGGGGCATGATTTAATTTAAATGACCATCAACAAAAACTTCATCAGAAAGGTGAACCACCCCTATCGCTCTTGCTGCTAAGTGGGTTATGACAATAATTCAGTTTTTAATTAGAAAAGCGGAAGAAAAAGGGTATAGATTTACAAGTCCTATTCAATGTTGGTTAAAAACGAATTAACAATGAGTCTGATATTGTGCAAATGAAAAAATGTGGATGACATGGAGACTTCAGATGATAGACAAGAAATAAATCCTGAAAGTTCACATTAGAAATAACTGCTCAGGCAAGATATAAAAATTAAAAAATTTACCTTCAAAATTCATCTGCATTTAATATTTATTTCAAAATACAGTAGAAACCCTCAATTAAGACCACCATCGGGACTGATCTAAAGTGGTCTTAATTGCGGGGTGGTCTTAATTGTGAATATTCTTATTGCTTACATACTTTATGACCGTGGTCTATTTTAGTCATGTTATATGAACAAACAATATGTATATTAACAATATAAAAGTATGTTATAATATATAATCTGATCTAAATATATTTCTGAGAAATTTAACATTAAATTCTATTTGGTCTGATTTGAATATTAATTATTAAATGATAAATATAATTCACCTGTCAAATAAGAAATTAATTCTATACATAAAATAAATGTGCTGAAAGCAACATTAAACCACTCTAAAATTTACTTTCTCACCTTTTTTTCATACAATAACCCAAATAACAACAGTTGTTGACACCTTGTGAAATCAAGTGTCAAGCTTAAGAGCATTCAAGCAGATCATAACAAAATTTAAGATAAGATAGGTGTTGACTTTAATATCAGTGGTCTCAATAGAGGGGTCAAATAAAGAATAAAACAATGAATTGGGACTGAATCTGGTGGTCTTAAAAGTGGATAAGCGGGGTGGTCTTAATTCTGGATCATGTAACCATTGATATAAAGAGCAGAAAATTCTGTTCTTTTAAGAAATGGTCTTAATAGCTGGGTGGTCTTAATTCCGGGGTGGTCTTAAGTAGGGATTCTACTGTACTTCATTTGGAAGTATCTGTAAAATATTTTGAAAAGGTACAGAATAAGGCAACCAATGTTTTGTTACCTCTACTGGCCAGTTCACTCTTTGTTCCTGTTCTGATCAGTCCAACTTTTTGCTGAAAAAAAAAAAACACTAACAATATAATATTGATATAATGAGATATACCTAAATAATTTTCATCTATGCTGGTCCTTTAATTGCTGATAGTCTGAATGAAATTTCCCAATGAGATATATTCTATATCACACTAGTCCTTATTTAAAGGTTATGCAGCTATCATAAATTATTCAATATATCTGCATATATTTTTCCAATCTGTGCTCTATTATGCTGCTGATATTGAATGCTTTTGTGGGTCGTGTTGTCGGTAGCAGCAGCACGACAAAGCGCCAAAGGGCGATTTGTTCGGACTTTCATCTTGTTGCTAACGATGCATGCCAAATGGCGTGTTGTTGTGCGGCGTGTTGTTACGATGTCACATTGCCGCTCAGATCAAATCAAAGGATTGGCTTACAAATCAAGCGACAGGGGGATCCCTATCGCAACAACGCACCGCAAGACAATGCGCCATTTGGCATGCTTCGCTAGTGACCGCACAACAAGACTACAGTGCGGAAAGGGGCCTGTTTGGCGCATTTCGCTAGTGACAAGAAGAAAAGGCAATAACGATATAGATTGTGTTGTCGCTATCAAAAGTGTACCAAATCATCCACCATACTCTATGATATCTACTAATATTGACCATTGTATGAAGTTGTTTTGAATTCCAACCAGTACGTTTTAAGTTATGCTCCGGACAAGGAAAAGTATCAAAGGGCAATAACTCTGTATTTTGTCAAAATGGAGTTATGGCTCTTGTGCACTGCACTTCCTTTGAATGTCCTTGACAACTGTATGAAGTTGTACTGAATTCCAAACAGTAGTTTTTAAGTTATGCTCTGGACAAGGAAAAGTAACAAAGGGCAGTAACTCTGTAATTAGTCAAGATGGAGTTATGGTTCTTGTGCACTGCACTTCCCCTTATTGTGCTTGACCATTGTATGAAGTTGTTTTGAATTCCAACCAGTAGTTTTAAAGTCATGCTCTGGACAAGGAAAAGAAACAAAGGGCAGTAACTCTGTAATAAGTCAAAATGGAGTTATGGTTCTTGTGCACTGCACTTCCTCTCAATGTGCTGGACCATTGTATGAAGTTATAATGAATTCCAACAATTAGTCTTCAAGTTATGGTCCGGACAAAAGAAAGCAATGGAAAAGTAATAAAGGGCAATAACTCTGTAATAACTTAAGATAGAGTTATGGTTCTTATGCACTGCACTTCCTCTCAATGTGCTTGACCATTGTATGTAGTTATATTGTTTTCCAACCATTAGTCTTCAAGTTATGCTCCGGACAAAAAAAGAAGGCAACTGAAAAGCAACAAAGGGCAATAACTCTGTAATTACTTTAGATAGAGTTATGGTTCTTGTGCACTGCACTTCCCCTTATTGTGTTTGACAATTGTATGAAGTTGTTTTGAATTCCAACCAGTAGTTTTCAAGTTATGCCACGGACAAGGAAAAGTAACAAAGGGCAATAACTCTGTAATTAGTCAAGATAGTGTTATGTTTCTTACGCACTGCACCTCCTCCCAATGTGCTTGACCATTGTATGTAGTTATATTGAATTCTAACCATTAGTCTTCAAGTTATTCTCCGGACAAGGAAAATGCAACGGACAAAAAAAAAAAGCAATGGAAAAGCAACAAAGGGCAATAACTCTGTAATTACTTTAGATAGAGTTATGGTTCTTGTGCACTGCACTTCCCCTTATTGTGTTTGACAATTGTATGAAGTTGTTTTGAATTCCAACCAGTAGTTTTCAAGTTATGCCCCGGACAAGGAAAAGTAACAAAGGGCAATAACTCTGTAATTAGTCAAGATAGAGTTATGGTTCTTGTGCACTGCACTTCCTCTCAATGCGCTTGACCATTGTATGTAGTTATATTGAATTCCAACCATTAGTTTTCAAGTTATGCTCCGGACAAGGAAAATGCAACGGACGTCTGGACCGACCGACCGCCCGACCGACCAACCGACCACCGGGTGACTCCTATATACCCCCCAAACTTCGTTTTTGGGGGTATAATAAATACTGTACACTACAACAGGAAAATCTACTTACCAAATGAGTATTTATATATTCATGAATGGAATATTTAATCAAAAACTCCACAAACAAAACAGTATATATCGAAAGGCAAATTGGTTAAGGAACCCAAAATATAAGTTAAATCAGCATTTTTATTTTTCAGAAGTGACTGTGTTAAACATTTTCCTACTGTTAAATGTCACTCAAAAGTATATTACTCAATAATAAAAAGTTAATCATGAAACTGAAAAAATCAGTGTATTGAAAATACAGTAGAATCTCTACTAAAGACCACCTCGGATTTAAGATCAGTTTTTTAAAGAACGGAATTTTCTGTTCTTTATGTCAATGGTGACATGATCCAGAATTAAGACCACCTCACTTATCCACTTTTAAGACCACCAAATTCAGTCCCAATTCATTATTTTGTTCTTTATTTGACCTCACTATTGAGACCACTGATATTAAAATCAACACCTTCCTAGATCTTAAATATGTTGTTATGTTGTTATTATCTGCTTGATTGCTCTTCAAGGCATCATGACACTACATTTTATTTATAGAATACAAAATATTTACAGTATATGAAGCTTTGCAAAGTTCTTTCCTCATAACACAGCTACACTGCTATCATTTTCATATTTAACTTAATACAAAATACACAATGTTTGACATCCAAATCTTCTCTACATTAATGAATATTGTCCATGGGTTCCTTAGACATAAAAAGCTGTGAGAAATTTGCTCAGAACCCTTGACCTTGAAATTTGGTCTAGACCTTAAAGACACAGGTGCCTTAGAAATATGGATTAAAAATGTGATCTCAATTATTTGTCACCAGCATTATGTATATTGATAAACATTTGACCAAAAACACTGAAAATACAATAATTTGACCCTGAAGGTCAAATTCATTTATGAGTCAAGGTTGAATTCAGTTTTATCTTCTTAAAGTTCTTGGCTTACATGCTGTTTTGTTTAAGTATAAAGACAATCCATTAATAAACTTAAAAGACTTAAGGGTTTTTTTTGTCACAAAACATTTGTCTCCCACATAATATTATGTACTCTATGGATGGAACAGCTATGGAGGGCAATCATTGCCAAAATTCCAGACATGTAAAGTGTTCCTTTTGAAGATTACTTTTGAAAATGCAAACATGACTGTATGCCTAGCATTTTTTACTGTATCTGAGTATTTGAAATAATACACCTTTAATCTAATCTTTTACTCCAAGGTTCTCGTTTTTAAATGACAAGTTTACATATAGAACCAAACAACTGACCTCACATGAAAAAACAAAAACAAATTTACATGTTCGTGTCTTCCATTGCATATAATACATAAATAAGCAGGTTTGCACACTTACAGCCTGAGATAAGACAAATGTATGTACAATTGAAATGAAATGTAATTAAACTCTAATACAGAAAACAGAGTTTAAGAAAACATGTTTCCAGTTGTAGAACTACAAGAACACGTTAACCAAGTAACATTGTTTACATCGACAAAAGTAGATTCACAAAGTTAAACAATTTTAAGTCATGCATTATGCCCAACATGACATCCATCCCAGCTGATACCTCCCCACATAATAACTAAACCACCTCTATAGCGGTCATGCTCAGTAATATTTGCAGTCTGAAACCGTTAACCTCGTCTTCTCCAGACTCTAGCCTGCCTATCTGTGAAGTCTAGGCAGAATCTGGACTTGTCAGTGAACAAAACATGTCTCCAGTGTTGCATGGTTCACCATGTATGCTCCATGGTCCATTCCAAACGAGCCTGGCCATGTCGACGCATCAAGGGGATAGTACACAAGGTCTTCTCGACTGCAAATTACATTAATGCAGCCTTCTAAGTACCATCTGTGTGGAAACATGACCCCCTGCATCATTTGAAGAGAAGTTTCTGACGAAAACCTTGCATGACATGTCTGAATGACCAAAAACCGATCCTGAGCTGGTGTTGTGACCCTTTGCCTACCTCCAGCATGCCTGGGTGTACCATGTAGCTGGTATTTCTCCCAGGCTCTGGTGATGATGGTGTGGTGCACCAAGCGGCGCACCAACCTGGCAGAAGGTGGCCCCCTGCTGCACTATCCCTATAGCCCTCCATAACTTCTTCTCTCAAATGCCGCCTTATGTTAGCATTTGCCATATCAAGGTTACAGATGTAAGAAATGTAAGCCACTGAATAACAATAAGCCAGTAATGTTGCCGTATAACAAAAGACATGTGATTGTACACCCAATCAAAAACATGCAAATATTAAGGTACACGCTATACATGCTACCTAGACAAGTTGTAACGGATTAGTCAACATGGATTCATGTCAGGGGACCATCTCTAAACATTGCTGAATCAGAATTTTCAAAAATTTGAAAGAAATCTTTTTTATATTTTATAAAAATTAACTCATGGTGTTTAGCAAAAGTTGAGAAGTATATAAAAAAATCAGTTGAAGGACTGAAAGACAAATATTTAATAAAAATGGAATTTAGTAACATTTTCTTTTGATTTGATGGAGGGCAAATTTTGCCTTTATGGTGAAATTGATTTTTTTTTTGTTTCATTGACTGTTTGCAGATTCTTTCACTATATCCAGTTGGGCAAGCTCTGATATAATAAAATAATTTAATATAACAATAGAAACAAAAATTAACTAAATCATTTCAAATGTAAGAGAGAAAACCCATAAAAATTTACCCCAATTATCACAATATCCTATTCAGATATTTGAAAAGCACAATATTATCTCTGGCCTTCAAGGGAAGTCATACACTTAAAATATGAAATTTGATACTGGTACAGTATAAATTGATCAAATAAAGGCTGTAATACAACTGGCTTATTCTTGTTTCTTTATTCATGTTTCTATGTGCAGACTGTTTAGCTGTGACATATCAATAGTGATATTAAAGTGTTCTTTATTTATATTTTTGACAATACTGGTGAAACATGGATATTTTTTAAATCAGAATGT